TTAACATAGAGATTGTAAAATTATTATTTGTTACAAAATATTCCTCCGGTCCTTAATATAAGACCCATTTAACTAATTTGATTAGATTAAGGAAGTTAGGTAAGTTAGTTAATTATAACAAATATGACACGTTTTTCCTAAAACACCATAATCATCTTTTTTTAAACCTCCTCTCCCTCTTGTACTTGATTATGGTTGAGGGAGTATCTATAGGGGTAATTTAGAGAAAATTGATAAATATGAGAAATTGGTCTTATATTTAGAACCAAAACTAATTCGATAATTGGGTCCTATATTAAGGACCGGAGGAGTATGGAATTATTCAATTGATAGTATGTGAACAGGGTATTGTAGGGTTGCTTTAAATCAAGAATGGTGCCTAACTAGACCAAATTGTAGGAAACTATCATAGTGGAAATTGATAAATTAAGCATATCAAATCCAATAAGTCAGAAGTCATTTTAGATTCCTTAATTTTCCGAACTCATCACATTACCTAATTAATTATACCACTATGATCACTAATTATCATCCCACCACTTCATCCCTATTAGCACCTTTTTAGTTATATATTTATTTACCCACATGATTAAAGCAAGGAATCATACAGCTAGCTACGCAAACTATAAGTCAACTTGAATTTTAATTTTCAATGCTTAATATATCCATTAATTAATAGGAGCACTATTTAATATTTATTATTTAAATCCAGAGAGACGAGAGAATTGAATTATATTTGTATATGCAGCCTTATAAATGTCAACGATGTTATATATGCCTATATGTATATATAATCATCATTCTCTTTATTGTGCTCGTGAAAGGCATCATGATTTAAAAATATTATCTGTTTTATCAATGTCTTATAAAAATACATAAATATTAATGAAAAATTGAATGGACTATAATATTTTGTTATTAAAAAAAAAGGTATATCGTGTCCTTTCAAGAACGTTCGATAAAATCACTCTCAAAAGGTTAGATTAATTTATATTTTAAAATTATCAAATAACTAAAATACTCCTTTGATCCTATTTATAAGATAGAGAGAGCATATTGTTTTTGGTCATATTTATAAGACACTTCATTAAATTTTTAGCATGAATGTACTATTTATCCTTCATTTATTATAGTATAGACAGTTATTCTTTTAAAATGCGTATATATTAAATTGGGATAAAATTAAAAAGTTATTATATTTTAATAGAGAATTAATACAGTTTAAGATTTTTCTTGATTTATGTAAAACATGTTAAAAGTGTCTTATAAAGAGTTTGTAGTATGGAGCATAAATGAATCATAATATTCATATCTTGTAAATTTTATAATCTATTGTAATTTTCCCACACTTAACATTAAATAATGCTTATTTTAGAAGCCAACAAGTAAAGAGAGATAGAAACATTAACTATCAAGAGCAGACATAAAAATAATTTTAAATTACTTTTCTTAACATGCATGAGATAGATAACTGTGATTTAGTTTTGAGTAACATAATAGTAGCAGAGAAAAATAGACAAAAAACTTTTAAATAAAAAAATAATATAATTGAGTTTTTTTTTTTTTTTGGGGGTGATAGATGGATAAGAATATATGTGCTCGGGGGCACTTAAATACGATGGTCGGTAGAGAATCGAATGTATCTTCCTTGATTTTGGAAATGAAGATTGGAGCGATTGAAGTTCAATGCATGCAAGCAATAAGACAAATTAAGCTCTTTAATAATTACTACATTTTCTTTAATTAGTTGTTTAATTGACATTATTAATTTGTGTTTCAAACATTGTCTCAAACGTGAAACACCAAATCTCGATCCTCAAATTTGCTTATTAGTTATATCTTGATCTTGACTGAGATTGCATCCGTTGCACTCAAATAATCTTTTGAATAATTTTCTTTCATTTATTAAAAAGTGAAAAAATGCTTTAAATTTAAATAGTCAATCTTTTAAAAATATATATAATTAATACTCCTCTCATTCTTGATATTAAAGCTAATTTAGAGTTAAATTTAGTACTAAATATAATATCTCAATCTATTTTATTTCTTATATTTATTATTTTTCTTTAGACTAATTTACTTGGCTTATGTATAATCTAATTTTATATTAGAATACTTTAGGATGATTATTTCACTTTTGATAGAGTGATTTATAATAAGGACTAAAAAGAGTAGTTATGATCTGTATAAAATAAATAATAATATCCAACAATAAAACTCCACGTTATAAGGGTCTGATTTTATGGGGTATGTTCGAATCTTAACCTGTTCAAGCAAAAAAAAAAGAATCTGAACTTCTTGTATCTAATATATATATGTTGCAAACATGACATGAATTATTATAATAGAAGAAACAAATATTTAATTGAAGTAAGCCAAATAAGAATGCCCAGACAGTGCCAAACTTTGTGTAGCATGCACATGAAGCTGTGTTAATTACAATCTCCTAATTAATAATCCAATTCAAACTTCAAACACAAATGCATAGGCACACATGCTATAGCCATTCCATGTTCATTTTTAATAAGTCCAACACATGCATCATGTATATAATCTTTTCATGCTAATTTTATATATTTCCCCTCTTGGGATTAACTATTAATACTCTTCTTACTTTGTTATTATTCAAACAATCCCAACATGAGTTTAGAGACCATTGGCCTTCACATGGCATTTCTTATTGTATTTGATTTTTTTTTAGCAATTATCTATTATAGATATTATTGATTATTAGTCCGAATTTTAGTACTCTTCCGATCCTAAATATAAGACCTTATACTACAAAATAGGTATTATATTTAGGACTGCAATATTATTTAGTTTAAACCGAATAACTCTCATAGTTAGTGCGGTTTTCTCCATAGTAAAAATTCAAACTCTCTCTTTTAAGCTCGAAATGGGATTTGCTTGATTACTAAGAATAACTTAGTTAATTTTAGTTAATTGCTAAATAAGTGTTACCTTTAATAAATTTTAAAAAGTCAAAACCAGGCTGCAAATTAGGTGTTCTATTACTTTGTTATCTTTGATGTTGGTTTATGTGTTCCTTTAACTTTGTATTCTTGACGCTGTTTTTGTTTCTGCAATAATATTTTTTATAAAAAAATCAAAATCAATTTTGTTTAAGGAACATTGAGTGCATTCTATTTAATCACTGAAGTGATAAATATAATTAAATTTACTAAATCAATAAAGCGGCATAGACATAGCTATTCTTTTTTCCTTTTGTATTACGTAGAAACTTTATGACCTAGGATTCTTATGATGGGAAAACATGATAAGGTTTGAAGATAAAAACTTGTTTATCACAATTTCAAAAAATGGTAATCTCTTTCCATTTGGAAAAATTACAATCAAGACCCAACCTTTTAACAAAATTACACTAATAAATGACCTTAATATTTGCATACGTTCTATCAGGTTTTATCAGATCTCCTAGCAAAATATGAGAAAAATACCTTAAAACACATTTGAAGTTTTTTTTTTCCTTCCAAATTTGAATAATAATCCCATAAACACCATAGTTATTTTTAATTAATTTTTTTTCAAATAATTATAATCTTATATTAATCTCCTCGCATGTGATCAGATTGGGAGGGAAATCAAATCGGAGTTGGTAATATTCAAGAGAGTAGTTAAATAATTAATAATAGAGAAGAAACAAACAAATCAATGAGAACAAAAACAATTGATTTATATTTAAAGATTCAAAAGAGAAACAGCCAATAATGATATGGCCCTCTTTTCTTACACAACAATATAACATAACATCATCTTAGAAAAAGTGTTCCTCTGCCTCAAAACACTCACCCAAAAAATAAATAAATAAAGCTCTCTTTTGAAATTTGACCATAAGTATTATGAGAATAACAAAAAATAAAAATTAATTAAGATTGTGTTTATATATAAATCATAATATGTAAGTGTAATTGTTGTGAGATTCATATCATTTTATACTGAACAAAATTTGCAACTTGATTAAATTTTTTAAAGAAGTTGAATTTAGACACATTATAGGATACAATGAACAGAACTACATTAGGGGTCAAAAAATAAATATTTGAAATAAGAATATAGTTAAAATTTTATGAATAATTAAAAACTTTAGTGTGTGACATCTCTTCCCATAAAAATCAACCAGAAAAAAGTAAAGTGGGTTAATGTAATGATGGGTGAAGCTTCTACGCGCTTTTATGGCGTCTGAATCATAACCTGAACTGGCACTAATCAATTCAACCTGAAATTACATCTCAAAACCCATATTGGCTACATTTAAAAAGCTCATTATTTGCTTTTCTTTTGACAAAAATCATTATTTGATGTTTTTCTTGTGTTGAAAAGAAAGCATCGTTTAAGCTAATTTAATTGCAATAATAATTTAAAATTTTCCCCAATTTCTAATTAATTTTTAAATAATTATTCCTTAACAATAAGAGTCACTAAACAAGTTTTTTTTTTTTTTACCATTCTTTACACAATAAGAGAAACTCACATACTAACATACTAACTAATACTGCCTGTAATCCTAATTTATAAATAAGATCTTATAATTATGATCAGAGCTAATATGTATTGATTTTAATGAAAAAGGTTTTGACTATTTAAACACAAAATTTTGAATTTGATTTTAAGCACACAAAAAAAGCTTCTAAGAGAACTATTTTTGATTGGGCTAATGGATAATACTTAAATCTAACTCAATCAAATGTTTCCCAACTTAGAAAAGTTTATTCAAAACAGTGTCATTAGGCAAGAAGCCCGGACAAAATGACAAAACGAGTTAACTCTCTATAAAGCTTATTTAAAAAATCATTTAATGTAAATTCTCAAAAATGTAATGAATATAAAATTTGACAAAATGGAGGTCCTTATATGTAATTTCGTACATCATGGCCCTTCTGATTCCACAATTTCCCTATGCGTCTGCATCTGCATGTGCCTCTCTTTCTTCTTCGCCGTTATATACTTCCCCCTTCTTACTCCCCACTTCCTCCGCCTTCTCTCTCTCTCTCTCCCTCTTTCTCTCTCCTCATTCCTCCGATTCACTCTCATCTCTTCTCCTTACCTTTCTTCTTTCATTGCCACTTCACCTTCTTCCTTTATGCCTTCTGTTTCCCTCAGCTTTAACCAATTTCCTTTCTCCTTTCTCTCCCCCATGGATTTTCACAAGCACTTCGTCCTCATTCCTTCCCTCTACATCTGATCCGTTGTTTTCCCCCATACCCACCAACAAATAAATCAGTCACTACCCACTTCGCCATCTTCCTCCTCCTTGTTCGTATATGTAGCTTCTGGTTCCGCAATTTTCTTGTTCTGTTTATCTCATGGATTTCCGCAAGCTCTTCATCTTCATTTCTTGCGTCCACTTATGATCCATTGTTTTTCCTTATACCACCCAGAGAGAAAATCAGTGCCCACGTCGTCATCTTCCTCCTTCGTCCTTCTGGCACCGTGAGAAATTCCTCATGGCCCTCGAAACTTTGCTTGTCAAGGTCAAAACTGCGGTAACCAACAGCTTCGACTCCGTTCGACCCTCGAAGCCGAGTCTCCTGAAGAAGCCGTCTTTCAAGTCCAATAAACGACATGTTGTCGGAGTATTGGCCTTCGAAATCGCTGGACTCATGTCGAAGCTCCTCCACCTCTCTCACTCACTCTCCGATCCCAGCATAATCCGTCTGCGAAACGACGCCGTTTCCCTGGAAGGCGTCCGTAAGATCATCTCCAACGACGAGTCCTTCCTCCTCAGCCTCGTCTGCGCTGAGTTCGCCGAAAACCTCAGGATCCTCGTCGATTCCGTCTCTAGACTCTGCCTCAAATGCCAAGACCCGAATATCCGATCATTCGACCCTATATTCCGCGGGTTTGCCGGTTCGGGGATCGACCCGAACCGCTGGGTCCTGTCGGGTCCGAAAGAAATCGAAGCCTGTCACAAGAAAATGGAACGTTACGTGACTCTCACGGCAGCGTTGTACAAAGAAATGGACGAAATTTCAGTTTTAGAAAGTGGGCTGAGAAAGACTCTGCAACACTGTAACGATAACAAAGAGCAGAAGAAGGCATATGAGCTTCAACAGAAGATTTTCTGGAAGAAACAAGAGGTAAAGGATCTGAAAGATAGATCTTTATGGAATAGAACCTTCGATTCTGTGGTTCCATTGCTTGTGAGGACAATTTTCACTGTTCTAGCTAGAATCAAGCATGTTTTTGCGATAGGCAATTCTTTTCCCTCTCTGTCTCGTAGTCTATCAACTTCTGCTGTAATTTATCCCTCAGATCAAAACCAGAACGCTTCTTCTTGTACATTTGTTTCTGGGCCATTGAAAAGTCCAGAGCTTGAAGATGATAAGAATGATTCAATATCTGGGTTTTTTGAATCTCATTGCAATCTCTTAAACCCACCTCCTAGTACTCTTGGTGCTGCAGCTTTGGCTCTGCACTATGCCAATTTGATCATAGTGATGGAGAAGATGATAAAGTCGCCTCACTTGGTTGGACTGGACGCAAGAGATGACTTGTACGCTATGTTGCCCAATAGCATAAGATCATCGTTAAGGTCAAGATTGAAAGGAGTAGGGTTTTGTGCAAGTGATGCTGTGCTTGCCGGAGAATGGAGGGACGCATTAGGGAGGATTCTGGGGTGGTTATCGCCATTGGCACATAATATGATTAAGTGGCAGAGTGAAAGAAGCTTCGAGCAGCAGAATTTGGTGCAGAAAAGTAATAATGTGTTGCTGTTGCAGACTTTGTTCTTTGCTAATAAAGAGAAGACTGAAGCTGCCATAACCGAGCTGCTTGTTGGGTTGAATTATATCTGCAGATTTGAGAGAGAAATGACTGCTCAAGCTCTGTTTCAGTGTGCCAATCTCAATCTTGGTTTGCTTAATTTGCAGAAACCTTGCTAGAGATTTTCATAATTTTGGATGAGGAAATAATATTCGTTTTTTTCTTGTCTGTTCGGTTAATTTAGTCAGTTCAGATAGAAATTTAGACCATTTAGATGAATCAGAGCATAAGAATTTACTCAAAACAAATACTTTTATGCTTTGAAAGAAGAGAAATCAGAGTGCAGATTTTGGATCTCTTGGGTTCTGTTTTTTCTGATATGGTTTCTTTTTCATATTTGAAGTGGCTTTGATTTTACATAAGCTGAAGTATGTTGGTGGGATCATTGTATATGGGAGTATAGACATATAAATGTGTAAATGATTTGAGTTTTGAGTAAACTCTGTTCAAGAAATGCAGGATGATTATATATTCATAAATACTTTTTCTTCTAATCATGTGGAAATATTCCCTGATAGCTTATAATTAATTTTCCATCCATGTTAACAATGACTGATACTTGCATTGTTTAGTATTTATTGTTGATGGTGGTATTCTTCATGGCTGCACCACTTGTTTTAGAATCATTCTTTGTGGTTCATATGATGGGTCATGAACTACTAGGCAATTAGTTCACCTATATCTTGGTATGACATTAATTTTGTATGTATAATTCACAAATTACTTTAAATATTTCAAATATCAGGATAAGATGTTTTGCTGCATCATATGTGAAAGGCACAGTTAGCTCACAATTTGAATCATAATATCTGCTGTATTCACAATCATAAAGCAGAAAAGCTGAGATTTGAAGAATGATCAGATTGTGTAAAGTCATAATCTAAATAGATTTGAAGATTTGGCCCCTCTAGAATTTATGAAAGTTATGGAGTAATTAGTTAATTCAAAGTTAAAACCTTCATTATTCAAAATTCCTTGTGGAAAAAATATAATTAACTATGTTTAAACGCCTGAAGAATTTCCAACACCCCATTTATCTTTTTTCTTTTTTCCCAATTACATCGATGAAAAGACATACTGTTTCTCGTCCTAATTATAAGACTTTATTTTTAGTCTATAAAAATGGTCTTATAATTAGGACCGTAGATAGTATTTTATTTTATATTTTTGTTATTGTCTAGTAATAATTTAATATGCTTAAAACAATAATTGTTCATTTGCAAAATTTAGACTAACGAGTTTAAACTTTTAGGATGCAGTGTAACAAAGTTACACCTTAACGAGCATCAATTATTTAATTATTTAATAAATTTAATAAATGAGAACACGGCAGTAATAATAATGACAATGGATTATTTTAATATTGCTAACCGATAGGTCGCCTGGGTCTTCATTCACATGATATCTGATGCTGACATTGTTAATCTGGAAATTAAATTAATACACGTAAGTAATTATTGAGAAGTGGAAAGAAGAAACTCAGATATAAAATTGTTGATGGGCCCACCCAAATAATAATTAATTTGGGTAAATGGAATAAAGCTATGGTTCCCTTGAGCATTCCATTTACTTATTTTATGAAATGGAAACAATCAAAAGGCCAAAAGTAAGGAAGCACTTGAGGACTAACTACAATTATGTTAAGGCACTATTGATTAATTTAATTGTTTGATTAAATTATCCAAGAGTAGAGTATCTAACAAAGACAAAAATCTATTTTTTTCGATCAAGTTGTTCACACACACACACACATATGAATAAACAATAAATTATTCTAAAATGACTTATTTTGACTAAAATATTTTTTTTACTATTTATCATCGAATGCCTATTCAACTAATATAAAATTGATTAAATTTTTAAATTTAGAATCAATAAAATTTATGATTTCAAAAATTTTCTTAAAAACTATTTTCAATGAATTGTATTCTTAATCAAAGAAATTAACACTGATCTTGAGATTGATTGTGTAAATTTTCGCAATTAAAACACAAGTAATTTATGCATCTCTAAATTTTTTTTTGGCGAAAATGCATCTCTAAAAAAATAGAGTTATAATTCTTTTTAAATTTAGTTTCTTTTTTGATAATGAACTCGTTGTCAAATAGGTAAGATTAAAAGGATAGACATGTAATTTAAAAAAGATCAAATTAATTTATATGGTATGTGTATTAAAATTATTTCATAATCTTAGTCATGAAATTCTCTCATCGATTTTACATGTTCACCTTTTTATAAATAAATATCGATCACTTTCTCTTACCAAAAAAAAAAAATACCATCACTTTCTATTGGGCCATCCTTTTAGTGGTTCGACAAAATAAGTACAATACATAAATTTTTATTTTTTTTATTTTATTGAAACATGACCTTTTATTTGAAGTTTCAGTGGGTGGGATCTTTTCCCCATTTTTGTATGCAAATTCTCTTCGAAAAACAACTGCCCGATTTAGAAAAAAGCAAGTGACTAGAGATGCTTTTAATAATAAAGAGTAAGAACAATTAATTACTAAAAAATGGGTAGGTAAAATAAAAGTGAGATTAAAAAAAAAGAAAAAGAAAAAGTGATTAAGGAATTTGACCTTTTGATTGCCTTGAGCCACAAGTGGGCCGAAGAAATGAAAAGTTTTAGCTCATCAGCCCATAGAATTGTAGAAACCCATTTAATAATCAACCATTTATTTCTTCTTTCGATGTAATTATTTTAAAACTGGGAGGTTCACTTAAAAAATTAAACTTCAAAATTGAAAATGGTTGATTTTTTTTTCATATAAATTTTTATTAAAAAGATTATTTATCACTACCTCTAGTCCTTAATATAAGAGTTACTTGACTAATTTGAGTAAATTAAGAAAACTGGTTAAGTTAGTTATTTGTAATAAATAAGTATTATATTTTCTAAAATATCCTTGCTAATCAAGTATATTGGTTAGAACTATTATTATTATAAAGATTACTTTGAAAAAAAATGAATAATATGAAAAAAAAATTAAATTGAAGTTTTATGTTAGAATCAAAATAAAAATTAAACAAACTCTTATATTATGAATCAGAAAGTAGTAATAAAGACTGGGTTAGGCCTAATTAGTCACAAAGCTTAGCTTGGCCCAACATGGAGAAAAACCTGTCTGTCCAAATCAATCCAACAAAATTAGACTTGGTTATTTTGGGCCATCCCAGCAAAATATCCCATCAGGTTTCAAGCGTTAAGCCCATGTAAGTAAGATCCATCACACTCTGCTCTGTATCTTCTAGAATGAATTGCCTTTTTTAATTGAAAAAAGAAATAAAGAATCGCACCCCCTCATCAAAAAAAGAGGAGGTTCAATTCTTTCACAGCATTTGGGAAGGCATTCTAGATCTGAGGGTGACTATGTAAATGTTTGCCGATTTATTGTAAGTTTGTCCTACCTAACATGGTACTACCTCCTGTACTTAATATAAGATCTCGTTTAACTTTTATTTTGGTCCTAAATATCGTCAATCTATTTTGTCTCTAGTATTTATATATTTTTTTTAAAGATAGTCGTTTTAACAATGATAATTCTAGCCAATACACTTGATTAGCAAGGATATTTTAAAAAAAACAACACCTATTTATTATAAATAACTAACTTAACTTCTTTCCTTAATCTCCTCAAATTAGTCAACTAATTCTTATAATTAAGATCAGAAGTAGTATCATCTAAGAGAAGCTGGATCAAGCATCCTATCTCTGACTTGGGTTCAGCCCAAACTCCTTCCTAAAATTTTCATTTGAAAAAAAAAGTCAACTTTATTAATAAGGATAAAAGGATTACAACATAAAAATAAAAACAGAACAAATGAATGGAAGACAAGAGGCATAGGAGTAGGCGGGGACTGATGGGAATGGAAGTCAATGGGTCTTATAGTGTTTGATGAAGTCAGATAATGATCATGGCTTAGTTAGGCACTTGCGAACTAAGTAGAGACGGATGGCAGGTTGCCTAATCCCAGTAACACAAAATGGCACCGTTAATATGAAACTACATGCGTTAGTGGAAACTACACCCACCCACCACTTCAAGGTTCAAGCATATTATATAAATGCCCCAGAGCAATCAGAATCATGGTTTTCCCTTGCGGGGAAAAAATGGATGAATCAGAGAAGAGGAAGCAGGTCAGGTTTAGGGAACCACCTTCAGTTCCATTTCTATGGGAACTAAGACCGGGCACCCCCAAAAAAGATTGGAAACCAGAGCCTCCTTCGTCATCTTCATCGTGTTTTTCTTCTTCTGCAGCATCAGTTTCTCATTTCTCCCTCGATCCAGAAACCAAGCTCGTTGATATGGAGTCTTCATCATCTTCATCGTGTTTTTCTTCTTCTGCTGCAGCATCAGTTTCTCAGGTTCCTAAGCCTCCAATCAAACTAATCGCCTCTATTCCCTTTGCATGGGAAGAAAAGCCTGGAACACCCATTCCTCGTTTCTCCCTCGATGCAGAAACCAAGCTCGTTGATATGGAGTCTTCATCATCTTCATCGTGTTTTTCTTCTTCTGCTGCAGCATCAGTTTCCCAGGTTCCTAAGCCTCCAATCAAACTAATTGCCTCTGTTCCCTTTGCATGGGAAGAAAAGCCTGGAACACCCATTCCTCATTTCTCCCTCTATCCAGAAACCGAGCTCGTTGATATGGAGTCTTCATCATCTTCATCATGGTTTTCTTCTTCTTCTGCAGCATCAGTTTCCCAGGTTCCTAAGCCTCCAATCAAATTAATTTCCTCTATTTCCTTTGCATGGGAAGAAAAGCCTGGAACACCCATTCCTCATTTCTCCCTCGATCCAGAAACCAAGCTCGTTGATATGGAGTCTTCATCATCTTCATCGTGTTTTTCTTCTTCTGCTGTAGCATCAGTTTCTCAGGTTCCTAAGCCTCCAATCAAACTAATCGCCTCTGTTCCCTTTGCATGGGAAGAAAAGCCTGGAACACCCATTCCTCGTTTCTCCCTCGATGCAGAAACCAAGCTCGTTGATATGGAGTCTTCATCTTCTTCAACTTCTTCTGCTACTGTTGCTGCAGCATCAGTTTCTCAGGTTCCTAAGCCTCCAATCAAACTAGTTGCCTCTATTCCTTTTGCTTGGGAGGAAAAGCCCGGAACACCAATTCCTCATGTCTCACTCAATTCAGAAGCCAAGTTCATTGATTTGGCATCTCCATCATCTTCATCTTCATCTTCAGCATATCATGTTGCCTGCAGAGAAAGAAGCTGTGATAGCAGCTTTGCTGAATGTAGTGATACTGATATGTATGACAGTGTAATTAGCATTGAACCAGAGTCATTTGGTTGTTCAGATCCTTCTTTACCAGCATCAGATAAGCTTTCTTCTGAGATTCCGCTGCAGAAAAGTTCATTGAGTGAGCATCACTGTGAACAGATTGTTGAGTCATCATGTTCATCCCCAGCTTCTGAGAATGGAAGCAGCACAAGCAGCTATGAAACAGGGAGGTCAAGTCTGGTTGGAGCTTCCTTCCTCGAGAGTCTATTTCCATTGTTTCCACCTAACACTGGCTTCCTTGAGAAAACTGGATCTTCTTCAACTCCATTGGAACTGAAGGAAAGCAGAGATTTTGATGGAGAGGAAGATAATAGCACTGCCATGTTAAGGAAGCCACCAACACTTGGAGAGCTAATCATGATGAGCAGAAGAAGAAGCTGCAGAAGGAAAGCTGTTCAGATGGGAAACAGGGATCTTCAAAGGGTAATTCGATCTCCCTCCTTTTTCTTCTCCTGTTCTTGTGTTTGAAGCGAGCTGAGCTTCTCTCCAAGTGCACAAGGGTCTACGTGGAGAGAGATAGAGAGATCATTCTCACAGCGGGCCCACCAAACCTCTCTAATTTTATATTTCTTCACACCTGAATCCTCCTGCACCTGGAGAGAATCTTAAAATATTTGAAGCAATTCAATCTTTCAATTATTTAACATGATTTAGTCTTTGTTTTGGGGAAAAATTATACTCATGAACATTATTCGTGATTTTTTAATAATATTACTCATTATAAATATATATATATATTTAGAAGATGTCAAACCTTCTTAATATGTTATTTTGACCCCAAAAAAAAAAGTAAAAATCTTCGTCACAAATCATAACTATCTATGGCTATTATGTACAGTTTTATGTTTGCTTGTGAAGTTCAAACCACTTGACTAGAAGTATGTGTATAGCAATGCGAATCTTGATGGCCCACTTTTGGCAATTCCATGATTAAACTAGTTTTGATTTTGATTGACACGAATCCATCTAAGTATAATTACCCAATATTTTCATTACATTCTTTTGAAAATCTCATAATTGAGCTTGTCGTGATAAGGAAAACCTATACTCGAAAAGGGTTTGCTTGTATAAAAACCTTTTTCTTCATCTCAAATTTCCAATCAAAGCAAGACTATCAAGCCTCATTTATTAGCATTCATGGAAAGGTAACATCCTATATATATATATATATATATATATATATAGATATTGAGATATGTAATAATTTTTCCCTTATTAAAGGATATATTTTACCGTATTATCATTGCTCATCCTTAACCAGAGTTTTCTGTTACCTTTTTTCCCATCTAGGCGTGTGTGTGTGTGTGACATTTTTCATTCATAAACTTATTTATTTTATTTCTTTTTCTCCTTCATTTCATTTTCCAAACCAGACGATTTAAACTAATATTTTCCTTCTCCAAAATTTTAAACACATCTTCCCTCTGCTAGGATCTTTGTAGTCTAAAAAACTTGAAATTCCATTTCAAAACCATGTTTTACTGATTGGCTTAATGGATGACGCAGAGTATTAGAAAAAAGGAAGCTTTTGGATGCTTCATGTTTGCTTCTAGCTGCAAGATGATTGAAGGATTGTTCGACAAAAAGTTTTTGCCCAGACTGAAACTGGTGTAGCTGTATCAAGGAATGTTTAACTGGGGAGACTGCTCCCCAAAGATCAGAAGCTCATTGTCCCTACTGATCCAACATGAATCTGAATTAAGTTTAGCAGTTCTAGCATCTCTGGTGTGGTTTTGTGGGCTTTCTACGTTAGGATTATGGATTGTAAAAGAATGTTACTTCCGGAGTGTTATTTGAGATTTTACAATTTAAATGAACTCAAATGTGCACATTCCTTCCTTTAACTTCGGTAACAGCTTCTGACAAAACATTATGAGATTCCATCAATATACGGATAATCACAGCCTAACATATTTGTTTTCTTTAAAATAAATTTTCTATCCCATTGGATGAAAATGGTAGAAAATCATTTGAAGTGGTTCAAACACATTAAAAAAAAAAAACCATCAGATGCGCTAGTGAGAATAATTGATCAAGTAGTGTGGAGTCCTCTAGAAAAAGACTAAAAAAAACACTTAACAAAATTATTGAACGAGACCTTTAGCTTAACGATCTATTCAAAGATTTGGTCATTAATAGAGCACAATAACAATGTGCTACATTGTAGCTAACTTCACCTAATAGGATAAGGATTCACTGTTCTTGTGTCTTATTTCTTGCATTTCAATCCCTAGAAAAATTATTTCCTATTAGCACGGCCCAACATTCTGTTTTAAATAACTTAATTCCAGTCTGAGTGGGTCCCACAGAAATTAATTTTCCTTTTTAAAAAAAAAGAAGAAGAAGCACAATTAAACAAATTACAAAGTACAAAGAGAGTAAGTCATATGAATCACATCACTACACTATTCAGAGGCCATTTTTTCCAACTTGGAAATATTATTATAGTTATAATAGATTCATATACCCACTAGATCTGCCGAATAACTTCAGATACCAGCGCCTGAGCATGCATGTATGTAGATGATTTTATTGATGTGATGAAAAATATCAATGGAGCCTCAACAGGAAGATTTACAAGTTTCAACAACTTTCCTAATCCTTCCAATAATTACAGGAATGTTTTCTGAAGTTAGTGCACCAAAACAAATTCCAAACCATCCCGGTTCAATACAATGACAGGCTGATCCAGGAGTTATATTAATCTTGGAAACATTTATAAACTTCTTCCATAACTCAAGTTCACTTTTGTCACTATGAGGTTGCCTTAACAATCCTCTCATATCAGCCCAACAGTACAAACCAGCACTGCTCTTTGCACACTTGATTCCTAGATTACTTAATTCAGCCTCAAGTTCATTCCGCGCTTGTCTTATTCTGTTCTGGTTAGTTTCAAAATACTCCATAATAAATTTTCTATCTGAAAGCATTGAAATAACTAACCTCTGTGTGGGAGCAGATAAAGAAGAAAACCTACTTAGCTTCCTAGCAGCAGCCAAAACAGTGTTGTTAAACGAATATATAACCCCAACTCTAAAGCCTGCAAGTGAGAGGTCTTTTGAGAGGCCATATATTATATGAACTCGATTCTTATCGAGGCCTTCTGAATCAAGAACTTCAGCTATGCTCACAAACTTGTCCCTTTCATATACTGATCCTGCAAGTACTTCATCAGCAATGATATGGATGTTTTTCTTTTCTGCAAAGTGCACAAGATTTTTGAGCATGTCCCGTGTCAGCAGATTGCCAACAGGATTTGCAGGGTTGGAGAAGAGAATTCCTCGAACTTTGACTCCAGGCTTGTGAGCTTGAGAGAATGCCTTTTCAAGAGTAGTGATGCTCAGAGCAAAATTGTCCTTGCTTTGACAGTGAACTGGTATTAGGTTCACTCGGGCTCGCCATTTCACATCCTTGTCAAATCTGTTTAAAAAAAAAAAAAATTATCCATTAGGTTTTGGAATCAGTTAGAGCCATGAATCCAGAAGGCTCTGATTTATTACCCTGAATAATAAGGTGTAGGGACAAGAAAAGAATCTCCCTGGTTTGCCAGGCAGAAAGATAGGATCTCAATAGCAGGAGTGGCTCCATCAGTTAGCACCATATTTGACGGGTCCAATTTCACCATCCCTCCCATCACTTGAGATATAAAATTTGACATGGCCTACAAAAGAAGAACAAAATGCCTTGTATTAGGGAAATGCACAGAAATTGTCTTCTAAGCAGGATCAAAGAAATTTTGGAGACATTATAGTGACCGGATTTTCGTTACAAGCTTATCTTTTATAGACAGAATGTGATGAATTATATCTGTTCTCAAATATTCTTCAATATTTCTTCAAAAATAGACTGATGTTATAATAAACAAGTCAGGTATTTCGATCCTCCAATACTGTCCAAGAATAAGGCCGAAATAATTAAACTGACATTACTCAGAACGTAAGAACATCACTTGAAAGAGAATCTATCTCACCATTTTCAATTCCTCCAATCCATCAAACGGCTGGTAAGTTGCAATCCCATTAACACTAAGAGTGAAATCATTCCCTACTAGCGATTTCTTCATGTTCTCTGATAACCACTTCTCAATTAGATCCAAGCAGAGCTACAAATAATTAAAACACTCGATTATCACAAACCCCAGAACAAGAAAAATGCAACCCAACCTAAGTCAAGAAGTACATTGAAAGAAACTAATATTTAGGCTTCAATATATGATTGAGTCCTCTAACTTCATAAAAGATTTTAATTTGATCCTTTTAAATCGGATTTAATGTAGACTGAATTCATGAAATTAGTTAAATCCTTGTAATGAAAATAAGTATAAAACATTATTCAAAAATTCAAACATAGAAATTATATATTTGACTATAAAACTTGCATAACAGAATAGAAAATACATAAATACAATGCTGCCCTTCCGTCTTAAAATCTAACTGTCAAATTTATCATTAAATTAATTTAAATATTATTTATTTAGAATGGCTTGTTAATTTATCTAAACCATCAAGCTAACATTAACATTACAAAATATTAAATTTAGTGACTAATGTTCATGGGCTTGAACTATATACAGATTATGTTACTCCTTGTTCTACAATGCACGGGACTCTAGCTTGACGTCAAAGCAATAAATGAGGATAGAAGGACTACATTGAACCTTTTGCGAAAGCAAATAATGATAGAATGAAAACCAAACTAACCTTGTTCTCGGACGAGCTCAGCTCAATCATCCCGTTTGGATTATTGAATCTGTCATAAGAATCCTGGGCCACTCTCTCCATTACATTGTCATACGGCAAATTGTCAGGTTCCGCAAGAAAATTCGCGAGGGACGACACTTGAACACCCTCCAACGGCGGGATCCCCGACGGTGGCGGAGTTGGAGGAGCCCGAGAAGGTTCATCGGAACGATGCCGTTTGAGATAGAGCTGGAGGAAGTAAAAGAGAGCGCAGGGGATCAGAGAGCCAAGCAAAATGCCTCCTCTGCCTTGAACCACACCCTGGAGAGGCACCACGAGCCTCATGGCCGCAGCTCGGAGGATCCGGATTCAGGCCACTGTCACAGGCTTAGCAACCCCGCCGCCGGTACCAACGAACGGATCGCCGGTGAGCCCATGGGAAAGGTGAAGGAGCCGTGCGTAGAAGAATTCAGAAATTTCGTTTTGTGCTTATTTTTCCGTGAGCTCATTTATACATTCTGGTACCTTCGTTGCGAAGATACGTAATATCAAGCCATACTCGTGGCCCCTGTACATTCTTACTGAGATTAGTATAAGATGCATGCATTAAGAATTTAAGATATATATATATATATATATATTGATTTTCAGAAATAAAGGAATTATGTAATTAGTTTTAAAGTCGGCCAAAAAAAGTTAGTGTGAGTTTGAGATTAAAGGATGGGGAAAATCGCAAAAAAAAAAAAAAACCTTTATAAATTGAAAAATTACACATAGAGATCTATTGATAAAATTGTTATCACTTGCTTATCAATTATTATTAAAACTCATACTAATATTATAATGAGTTCTTATTTATAATTTTTCTATTTTTAAGGTCTTTTTTACAATTTTTGTTAAAGTATATTTGTCAATATAATTTAAATAAGAAAAAGGAAAAGGAAAAGTTTCCTATTTAGTAGTATCTTTTTGCACCATCACATGTGAGATGAGACAAGTAAAGAATCAAGGAATCAGATCTTATTTTATTTTTGCCATCATCAAGGAATCAGATCTATTGCTTACACACGTATATTTTTGGGGGCATTGGAGTTGTTATTGTTGTTATTATTATTATTAAGAGCTGGTTTATAGTCTTATATTGAACCCTAATCGGTAGATCAAAACAACCCTAACCATTGAATTTAGGACAAGAGGAAGTATTATTTATTTGCGGTCACTTAGAGATTTTACATATGCATTACTATCCCCTGTATTTAATATAAGAGTTAGTTTGACTTTTAATTTGATCTTAAATATAAGATCCTAATTTATTTTATTTTTCATATTTATCTTTTTTTTTTAAAATAATATTTGTAATAATTGCACATGTTAAGGATCCTATCAAATAGTAGTTTTTGCCAATTTACATTATTAGCAAGAATATTCTTAAAAAGATAAAACTTATTGATTATAAATAATTAATTTAACTAATTTTTTTAATATTTTAAATTAATCAACTAAAACTTATACTAAAAAGAAGAAGTAATACTCTTATTTTAAAAAAATTATACAGGCTGTTAGACTCGAGCCGAACCAATATGATGGACTTGAGAAGATAACAAAATTTGGAATATTTATAAGCTTAAGCCCATTAGGAAGGGCCAGTCCAGGGCACTTGATGTAAGATTGTAAGGGGAGAAAGAGACGGAGGGATCCTTTAACTGAAATAACAGAAAAAAGATTCGGTGAAGGACTTTTTTGGAAATTACTACCAAATGGGAAACGCTCCTCTCCTCCCCTTTTCCACGGGAGCAGATTTGTCTTCTGACTGGAAAGTGAAATGACCATTCTGTCTTTATACTCTTTGCCCTTTCTGTCCATTTCAAATGCTTTTTTGAATTTCAAAACCACAATTAATTATATCATCAAATGAATCAAACAAATTAAACGAAACTTCCCTCTGTATGCTGATCAAGCCAATGAAGCTTCCCTTTTTTCACTGTATGTGCGTGAAATTGCTGGGACACATGTTCCTACTTTTCAAGAACGTGACAAAGGGTACATGTTCAATCACTCTCAATCTCATTGTCATTTTATAGCATATAAAGTTTATATATGATGAAGAGGTTTGATTAGAATTGAAGAAAGATGATGTTTATAATGTTATATATATATATATATATAAAATGATGGATACAACACAAAATGTTTGAATTTTAAAAAATGGAGCCAATGACCATATAATAGTTTTACTTTTTACTTCTTCAAACTTTTTGTTTATTACTTGTTACTCTTATAGTTCTATTTATAAGATGGAGACAAAATTTTTCCTATCATATTTGTAAGTCACATGGTTGAATTTTTAACTTAAATATACTAGTTTGTCATTTATTTATTATTGTATACATTTTTTTTGGTAAAATGTATATATATTAAATGAGGATAAAATTAAAAAGTTATTAACTTTTGAGACAAGACTAATAGAATTGAAGGCTTTTATTGATTCTAATCAAATATTCTGAAAATGATTTATAAATAGAATTATGGAAGTATATCTTCATGAATATTATTTAATAATTTTATATTTTTTCTAAAATTAAGTTACACGGATAATTTTTATTTTCAAAATTAATTCTTCAATATTTTTTGCATTTCCCACTTCATTTCCAACCACGTAACCAAGCCATAAGTGTTGTGGGATGGCAAAAAACACAAAACCAAAAAACCGTAAGTATCTTGGGAGTGGAGTCATTTCCATCTGATTTATTGGACTATTAACTTTCATTCATTTAAATTTAAAAAATAACATATTATTTTGATCTTAATTATAAGATTTAATTTATAGAGTACAAATAAAATTTTATAAATAAGAGCGGAGACGGTATTAAATAAAGGATGCTTCAAGAAAAAAAAAAAAAAAAGGGATACAATGGTCATATGGCTATTTGATTTCCCGCAGTGTTTATTGTGGACCCGCAACAATTTCAAATTCACGGATTCTGCCGGGAGTCGGGGCGTTACGCTACATATAAAACCCGCTCAGGCGCTTACACATGCTGAGTTTTCATTGATTTCTCTGTCTGCGTTCCCTCGTCTCCAACGAAATCTTCGCCGTGCTCTCCGACACTGTTTTCTCTCTCCGATTTGCAGAAGAGAAATACTATAACAGAACCAAATATTTTCTTTTTTCTATGCAAAAATGGTATTAAATTAATATTTCGAACTTTCTCTCTCTCTTTTTCCGGGAAATAAATAACGACGAATTTCCTAGGAACGAGTGGGAGGACGAGATCCGAGGTTGTTTTTGGAGTTTTGCAACGAATGACCGGGATTTTCTCCCTCATCTCATTCTCTACGGAGGATAGAGAAAGGGAGGGAAGATAATCGGAAAGAACCGTCTCCTCGCGTGGTGGTTTTGCTTATCTCTGAGGCAGCGAACTTTTATAGCTTTCTTTCTCTTATATGAGAAAGTAAATCAGCATTTGAGGACCCGAGGTGGAAAATGCTTTCGACCCTGACTAATCATTTTGAGCCTAATAAATTGATTTCGATGGTAGCTGATAGTTTCATTGCTTGAGCATTGCTTCATGTGACAGGCTATGAGAAGAGAAGGAAGGTTATGGAAGAAGAATTCGAAGAGTTTGTGGTAGAACCCTTGTCCGATGGGGAAGACATTGACCCTGATTATGAGTTCGACGCTCCTCGCTTCCATGATTTCTCTCAGCAGGAGAATTTTTTGGATGCCGTGGAAGCTGAACAGTGGTTTGAATCCGCAGGAAGCTACCCGCCTTCACGTAAGGATTCTATGAACACCGAGTTTTCTATATCTGATCACAGTAATGATGCTGTTCAATTGTCTTTGATTGGGGAATAGTTATTTTGGTGTAAATCCTGGAACAAAGTCACGAACTCATTGAGAAGCTGCATTATAAATTTCTAATTGACTCTGCAGGAATTTTTGGGTCTGAATTTTATTTTATTTTTGGTTCATTGTGCTGTGATAGCATATGTCTTGAAGTTGAGATTGGGAAAAGGCACTTCATCGAAAATCATGTGCATCCCAGCTGACTGTGGATATGGCAAAAGGTCGAATACCATTGGCGACAATTCTGGTCACCGCATGGAGCTTGGTGTTTCAGCAGTTGGGGGCGATAACGAAGGTACAGTTTCCGGTCCGTTCGTCCTCAATATTTTTAAAAGATGCTGCGAAATCAGAACGAACGTGTGAATATATGTACTAATGTAAGAAAATACTTGCTGACTGCGGCCTCCCACTGATACATGTCACCAAGCTACAAGGCTATCGGCACCATATGTCTAAATATTATAAATTTGGAGATTAATTTTTCTGCGGAATGGAATTTTTTAACTTTTCAGTAGAGCTTCGTGTGGACCAAACATCTTTCACTTTGAATGATTTATATTTGTGTTATTACTAAGTAGAGATTTACTTTCAGGACCTAAATGTCATAATCAGGCATTAAAAGGCAAAACAAAGTCTCTCTTCAAGTCAGCTCGTTCAAAAATGTCCACTTTAATGAAGCCCACGGCAAGTCATTTAGCCAAGCAAAGGAATCCCTCCGACCTCCTCAATACCCCTCGAATTTTAAGGTGTAAATCATATCTCACCTCCTAATAACATTCGGCCAGGTTTTTGCCTCAGTATGTGATTTTTTTCTTTTTTAAATCCAAGATTCGTTTATTACTTTGTAAATGAATATAACTAATCTCGAAGCACTCACTACTGTGGTACCCTTTTTTATGAAAAGTTGTAAAATATATGGATATGAAACTTTCTCAAATTTAGATGTCTTTTCTTATATTTTTTTAATGAACTCTTTGGTCAGTTTCCCTCTTTCACTCTTCGGTTACTACCTGTCTCTTTCCCCCGCTTTTTGGCCTTATAACTAATTTTTTCCCCTTACGCTTAAATTGGCAGGTCTCCAAGTCAGAGTTCTACAGATAGCAAAGAAACCAAAAGACAGAAGCTAGAAGCTGGTTACTTGCGCAAGGTATGCAATGGTTTATCTCTTGATGCTCTGGCTCCCATTCATTTTGTATATTCTTCCTTGTACAGATATCCTATGCTCGCAAATTCATAGCTATCTTATCTCATGACATTTTTGAAAACGTTTCCTTGCTCTGGCTGAATCTAATATTGCAGCTATCGCTGCTCATTTCTTTGCTCTTTCCCCCTTATGTTATTGCCTCTTAATATATTTTCATTTTATCACTATTAATGAAATGCTGCTGTATTTATTTTTGTATTGAAATAGATCTTCTTTTATTTATGAGAAAACTGAATGTTTGGCTTCTTTTATTGTTTGTACTTTATGTGGTCGTTGAGGTTAAAAATTTATATGGTGCTCTGTTTCAATTTGTTAGATTTCTTCTTTCAGTTCATTTGTATATTCAGCTGAACTTCTAAATTCCAGAAATTATGCTATTAGTTAACATCGAACGCACTTGGCATTGCTTCTTTTTTTTTTTTTTTAATTTGTTTGATAGGTTGCACATCTTAAGCATCAACCTCCTTTTACTCATAAGCAGCCGAAGGTATGTAGTCCAAAAAAGAATTATTTATTTTATGTTATCTTATATGTTGCTTTGTTTTTATACATGAAATAATTTAGCATCAAAGTTGAGGCAATGTATTCTAGCACTTTTGAATTGTTTCCGCAGGTTGATGCTGCTGACATCAATTCAAGCTCTAAACCGAAAGTTACTATTCCTAAACAATTCAACCTGGAAACAGCTCATAGAGCACGAAGACATAAGTATATCTTCTTTTTCAATCATTTTGTTGGAATACCACACATTTCTCCCAGAAAAATTGCTTAGTAAAATTGTGTCGTTTTAATTTCAGGTCTAGAACCAACAACGAATCAGATGAACGTAGAAAATCAAGTTCTCACATGTTTAAAGCACTGCCATTAAATAAAAAGGTGGATACTTTCAATTTGTACCTCTGAAAGAAAAAGATGCAAATTTCATAGGAATGTAAATGTAGTCTTCTAATAAGCAATCTTTGGACTTTGGCAGATCCTAGAGGGTCCTTCATTATCCTTTAAGAAGAGGACACTGCAACTGACAGAGTTTAATGTAATTAGCTTTTGTTCATTGTATTCTCTGTTTTTTTTTCAATCCACTTTTTTATATGCAATCCATCAACAATTTGGTGCGAGTAAGCACACTCTGAGTTACTGATTGCTTTTGCTTTATTACTTATTTATTTTTTCAGGTGTTCCACTTGAAGACATCCAAGAGAGCTATGCAACACACATCTAATAATGTTAGTAATATCACAGAATTTGCTTTAACCGTCTCATCTCTGCAATTATTCTCTTTCATTGCTGTTTCATGTCAATAAGATGATTTAGTTTTATGTTAAGTATCCCCTCCGCTTATTCCAGTACTGACTTTTAGAAGGCCTTTCTGGTTGGTCTTTCCTTTTGTAGGTTTTTCATAATTCTAACTGCAGTTCGAGCTCAAATAGAGAAACAACGGATTTCAGAAGGTATGAGCATCTAAATTTTGAGTAGAGGTGGACGTGTTGTAATGTATTAGCGATCTACCTGAAGAGAAGACTTGCAAGTTATTCATACTTGTATATCTTGAATTTGCATTATTGGTCAATTATGAATTTTCTGTTCTATATGGTTTTTTTCGAGCACAGACAAAACTCTACTGATGAATCGAGGCAGGACAAATGTAAACTTGCTAGCAAGCTCAGGGGCAGCCCCCCAAAACTGGTAATTTATTGTCAATGATGTTGCTGTGTGGGTGCATTTCATTCTTTCTTTTCAAAGCCTAACTTATTTCAATTTGTATTGTGCTGGTATCAGAGACTCTCGATTAAAGGTGAAAGAGGCGTCTTCCGAAATATCAAACAGGAAAACGTATGGGTAATACATTCTATTTTATGTTCTTTCTAATTCTTCGTTTGTTCTAAATTTGTTATTTTGGTAAATGTGCTTAATTTTGTAATTTTTAAGAAATCGCTTCTAATTTTGTTTTTTCCGCTCTCAAAAGGGGATAAATGACAAGAGGTTGTCGAATGAACCTCCTTCAGAATTACTTAGCAAGGTATTAACTTTAGGGGTTTTAATTTTGATCTTCTTCGCGATTTGCCATGTATATACCACTGGAAGCCAATATAACAATGCATACTTAAAAGCAAAGAGGATGCCTTTTGTTCACTTTTTAAAAATATTGTTGTGGCTGGATTTTTTAGCTCTCTCTGGGTTCTGAAGCCAAGCAGACTACTACAAAAAAGCAGCCAACATCCAAGGTTCTTTCTCAGCATGCTTCATGAAAAACCTATTAGAATATTTAAAGTGAACATTTTATCTAAAATGATACATGTGTACCTTCTTACTTATTCAAAATTCCAGGGCTTAAAGGAGAACAGGCCCAGCTACTTTCATCTTCAGAACCAGGTATGTGATTAGCTGTGAATATATCCCTCTTTCAAATTGTAACATAGTGGTTATTGGCAGATATAGTATATTATGAGAATATCTATCACTTAGATCTTCCATTTTTCTCTCTGAACTCAACTTCTAGAAGATGAACTCTATCAAAGAAGAAGAGCATAGGCCCTGTGTGAAGCAATACCTACAGTGTATGAATGAGAGACCAGATGTTAATCAAGCGCGTATGTTGGCAGGTAGAATCAGATCCAAGTATAATTTCATAATTAAATCATTATAATTGTCATTAATCCGTTGGTTTGTTTTACAACTCATACAACGAAGTTTTTTTTTGACATAGGAGGTTGTACATACTGTTAAAACTCCAAAAAATGTCGCTGCTTTAATAATGGGATAATATATCCTGAGCTTTTATTTTATATGGAAGCTGTCTCAAAGGAAGAAGCTGATTCTGGCGAAGGTAACATCTAGGAAGTGGTAAAATGGGGATCCAAGACTTGAATTGTACAAGAAAGCCCTAGCAGTTTTGGGAACTCTTTTTTGAATTGTCCAAACATGTTTTTAGAATTTTCTCATGTATCCAGAAATGTACGTTCAATTGAGGCTCGATCTCACCTATTTTATTTTGACCCCCCAAAAAAAGAACAATGAATTCTTTTTTAAAAAAAATTACAATCTTGGAGGATTTTTACTTGCGAGATCACCATGCTAAATTACTAATCCATTTTTTGGTTTCCATTCTCATTATATATATATATATATATATATATATATTCTCTTTATATTACTGATTTGTGAATATTAAAGAAATTAGTTAAATTAGTTGTTTATAACAAATATAAGTCAATTTTATTATAATATCATCTCTCAACATGTGCATTATATGAAAACCCTTTTATTATATGCAATTATTAAGGATACATTCACAGAAAAAAATAGATTAATATTTTATATTTAGAGTCAAGGTAAACTTTAGCACTTATATTTAGCACCAAAGTAGCATAATTTATCAATTATCAATCAACATTAATATTGTCTTTTTTATCTAAAAATTAAATATCAATCAAGTATACATCGGAAAAGAAGATGAAGGGCCCAGTGTAGTCGACAACAATCAAACTATAAGTATAATTAATACCTCTCGTGAGAAGCACAAATGTCCGGGTACACCTTGCCGCCTCTGAATTAATTAATTGATCAAAAGGCTGATCCTTATGGTTGCTCTATCCCGTGAAGACACGTAAATTACTCCATACGTTAATTGATTAACAGAAGACAGTAGACAGTAGACAGTAGGCACACGCCAGTCGATAATAAATGCCTCACCCGAGAGATACATCTTAGTCTATAGAAGGGTTTTATGGCCATGGAAAAACACAAGTTCCCCCGCCAAAATTACTTCTCAGGAAATCATAGCATCATGAAAAATCAAAATTTCATTTTCTGAAGCCATCAGGTCAGATTCTCAATTAAGGTAGATATCTCAGGATGGAAAAGCCGGACCTAGAGAGGCTGAATCAACAATCTCAACTACTACTCGCAAATGAAGAAACTAATAACTTGTAACAGGCTACTCCTTAAACTATAGCCCGAAGAAGCCTTATCTCCTAGAGTCCGAACTACTCCTGGTTATCCCTCAAGTTCTTGGGGTTGCCAGGTTAATAAAGAAATAAACTCGACACCGACCTAGAATTTGATAATGAAGGGCAAAATACTAGAAATATACTTCAGATTATACTGTATGATTGAAATTGTCGTACTAACTGAAATACATAATTTCCTATGAGTTCTATTCTCTTGATGGTCTATCTATTTGTCAACTGCCTGAAGAGAATACAAAACGTGTACTCCAAAAAAGGCTTCTTTCCTTTCTATCCGGAATGGATCATGGATACAGATAAACTGTGAAAGAGTTAGAGGGTGTTCTTGGATATAGCATCACCAAAGCGAATGAACCATTGAGCATCACAAGAATTGTTCTGTTGTTGAGGTTGTATCAGCTCCCTCTTGGGGCCTTGTTGCCCCTTTTCGATCACAAATCGTGCGTAGTCAATAGTCTTTGCAGCTGAGGCAAATGTCTTATTGGGAGGTGCAGGAAGGAGCGAGACTAAAACCTTGGCAACCTCATGCATGGTAGGCCTCTCAGATGGATTTCTTTTTGTGCAAAGCAGTGCAAGCTGAAAGGTTTTCTTCACATGGGCTTGATTTATGCAGGTAACAGAAACTTCAGGATCCACAGCCTCCATTACAGTGTCGTTATCTGTCTTGGACAGTATCTGCAAAGTCATTTTCACACACAACATAAGACGACTCAGGGTTAACCCCTCAGAAAATGATTTTTCACTCGGCAACAGGCAAGTTCAGAGCTTGATTAGGTTATTATATAAAGAGCTTTACTTCTCAAGAAGTTGAGCCTTTTTCAACCATTAATTCGCTCTGAGATTCCCTTCTTACTATCCACAGCGAGAAAGAAAATCCCAATATTTTGAAAGTTAAGGGTTTTACAGAATTATCTGCCCGAAAACCAGAAATGAATTCATTCGAGAAAGACATACCAAATGATGCAGGTTAGACTCATTGTGCACTGCTTTCTTCCCGGTAAGCAGCTCAAGTAGAACTATGCCGAAGCTGTATACATCAGATTTTTCATTCAGGCGAGATGTCTGGGCATACTCAGGATCAATATAGCCTATTGTTCCAAGAACATGTGTTGATGCATGAGTTATTGTGGTTGAGATACATTTGGCAATACCAAAATCAGAGAGATGAGCCTCAAAGTTCTCATCCAGTAGAATATTTGAAGACTTGATATCCCTATGAATAACTCGAGGATTGCAGCCATAGTGGAGATAAGCAAGTCCCTCAGCAGCTCCCACAGCAATCCTTAAGCGCGTTTCCCAGTCAAGTTTTACCTTCTTCTTGGAGGGACCTGCATGACAAGACAGTTTAAGGAAGAGATCTCAAAAAAGATCAAAACTTTGGTTCAGTTTCTTGCAAGTTTGCAATCAAGTTCTCCAACAACAAAAAAAAAAACAAAATGCAGTGCGTGAAGCTTCAGATTCTTCTTGCACCATATCCAAGCAAAAGAAAAATCCTTTTACCAAACTTACCATGAAGAAGATCCCACAGAGAGCCATTCTCCATATAGTCATAGAAAAGGAGGTTTCCATTTGGAGTTAGTGCATAACCATGCAAGGTGACAAGGTTTCTATGTCTGATGCTGCCAATGGTTTCAAGTTCTGTTTCAAACTCTCTTTTGTTGTTTGGATGCTGGTTGTATAGTCGCTTGATCGCAATCGGTCGAGAATTCTTCAAAACACACTTGTACACAGTACTAGAAGCGCCATATCCTATGATATACTTCTCACTTAGATTCTCTGTACTTCTCATTATATCATCATAGGTATGCATGGCCATGTCCATATGAAGAACAACAAGTTTAGGGGAGCCTGAAATGAGAGGGGGGGGGGGGCAATGAAAGTCAGATTTTTGGAATGTGAAAATTTTCCCAAGTTCTATGTTCAAACATTTACACATGCCTTGCCCAGTTCCTCTGGATCTCTTCATCAATTGCATTGATTGGCTCAATCTATACATTGCAACTATTACCATGGCCAACAATGTGAGGATCCCAAGAGTGAGGCACACAATCGCAGCCCTGGAAAAAGTTACTGAACAGGAAAAAAAAAGAAAAGAAAAAAAGAAGTATAAGATATTGCCCATCACGCTCAAATATTTCTTTAACCCACAAAACTAGAATGAAAACACGAGACACATACCACTGGATTTTGGCATGTAAGGATCGCATATTGATCCCAACCAATTTCCGCATAGAAAGGGATTTCCAATGAAGCTGCAACATGTCACACATCATAAGTGATTTATCATTAGAAGATGAAATGAAATTCCCACTTTTCACATCAATACCTGTCAGAAGAAAATCGTGAGAAGTTCTTCATAGGAGGAATTGTCCCAGATAAGTTATTGAAAGAGACATTCCTAGAAGGTCAATAAACAAAGCAACAAGCTTCAGAAACAACAAAGAGGAAATGTTAACACTGGGGAAACTATAGGATGGGCATACTCACAAAGAGGAGAGACTGAAGCAGTTAGTTAACTGGTCAGGAATCTTCCCATGCAAGTCATTGTTGTTTACAATCCTATTATAAATTCCAGCAAAGCAAAAAAAATAAAAAAAAACAAAAATGAACATCCCACCCAGAATATGCTCGCTGTAGAAAGTTGGGAAGAAACTGCTTTTATTAACTTACAGAGAAACAAGGTTCTGCAGCAGCCCAATTTCAGGAGGGATGCTTCCAGAGAGATTGTTGAAAGACATATCACTGGAAGAAGAAACAAAACATCAAACTTTCATAATAGAACACAACTCCATGAATGTTAATACCAGAAAGGTAACAGATCATACATAATCTGGATGCTTTTCAGATTCCCGAACTCAGCAGGCAAGGGACCAGTAAAATGGTTATGGCTCAAGTTACTGCATAAACAATGCACATATATGTATTAGCCAAAACAATATATCAAACTTGCGAAAGTAGATTTAATTGCAACTTCTTTCTTACAGTGTCAGAAGATGTTCCAGAAAACCAACAGACGCTGGAACCTCCCCAAAAAAATTATTGCAAGATAGATCCCTGAAGCAAAAAAGGCAAAAAAAACCACTTAGCAGACATTATAACTCGTGATGTTAGAAATATAACACCGTGAGACTTACAGCACATCAAGATTTATGATGTGACCCAACTCGATAGGTATATTCCCTTTGAAGTTGTTGTCTGAGAGATTTCTGCAGATTAAAGGAAAATCTTATATCACGGATCAGTATGATCCCTTCAACGGATAAGATAAAACCAGCTCAAATTCGATTTGCCCCTACTTACAAGTAAGTCAGACTCCCAAGGCCACGGAAGCTCAAAGGAATAGAACCACTTAAGCGATTACCATGCACATTACTGCAGGAAATTTAACAAAACATTAGTACGGAGACAAGAAGACATAGAACAGTACAGGAATATTAAGACTTCATGACAAAGCATGAATCTTACAACTTATTCAAGGCAGTACAGGAGCTTATGTTATGTGGAATGGTTCCTTCAAGATAATTGTTTGCAAGATTCCTGAACCACAAGAAGAACCATTTTAATAGCGTTGATATGAGAGATGTAAAAACCATAAGATAAAACAACATAACCTTACAGTTCAAACAAATGCTCAAGCTTTCCAAGTTCCTCAGGAATTCTGCCAACTAGTTTATTGCCATTCAATTGCCTTAAAAGACAAAGTATTATCAATAACAATCCCGTGAGAGAACAAAGACAAAGGTAATTGAAAAGTTGGAGATAAACTCACAGGTAGCTCAGCTTAGACATATTGCCAAGTTCTGGAGGTATTGGACCAGTGAGCTTGTTTCCATGGAGATACCTACGGGAAGTCGAGTCTTAAACACAGCAATCACCAACAGGAGGTTTCATTATGGTGGGGAATCATACTTACAGCTTGCCTGTGAAAGATAAATTGCCAAGTACAGGAGGGATGGGCCCCACCAGTTCATTCTCACTCAAGTCCCTGAAAAGTTTCCAGTAAAGTCATACATGTTCCTATAGTCAAACTATATGCATTTTACGGAAATGCACTATCACCCATAAAAAATGTATATATTCTCTACATAATGATCCGTACACTTACAAAATAGCAAGGGCTTGCATCAAACCGATCACTTCTGGAATCCTTCCAGTTAGTCTATTCCCTTGAAGTGACCTGTAAAGCACGAAAAATTATTACCGAACTGCAATCAAGATAACAATATCGTTCCCAAATAACCAACTCTTTTCAGGAAGAGAAAGAAATATGACGCAACCAATTCACTCTTACATCAAGACAACATTGAGCAACAGATTTATAACAGAAAAGATACTCACAAAGTAGCCACTTGCAGAAATCCAATATTATATGGGATCTCCCCAGTAATCTGGTTATAAGATATATCCCTGCATATCAACCAAAGACTAGTGTAAAAAAAAAAAAATTTGGGGGGGGGTCATACTAATAAAAGCCATCATTGAATTCACTGTAGAAATAACATACAGAATTTGAAAACTTGTACAGTTCCCAATGGTATCAGGTATTGTGCCCGTCAAGTTGTTGCCTCTCACATCACTGAGAATTTATGTAAAACAAAGCAATACAGCAAAGGTCAGACAAAAAAGGAAAACAGAAGGAAAGAGAAACCTTAAACGCTGATATTGTCAGAATACTTACAAATACCACAGTCCGGTCAACTGACATATATCTGGGGATAGAGTTCCGCTCAACATGTTTCCTCTCAACCCTCTGTTTCATAAACAAGTGCAATTTGAGATCAGATTTTGACACGATAAGGAGAGTACGAAACAAGAATAGTTTTTCTTGACTATATTAAGAAAAATCAAACAACAAATATTGCAAGAATGTTGCCTCACGATTAATCACAGCAGGCTTGAATACAAATGATACAAACAAAAAGGAAAAGAGACTCACAGGTATTGCAAGACTTCATTCCAATACAGGAGTCTTGGTATCTCACCAGTGAGCTTATTGCGAGCAAGATCACTGACACACGAAATGAAATACAATGAGTAAAACTTATTTCCTAAGCGGTCCAAGCAAACAAGATACTTAATAATGCAAAGTCAAAAGTTGAAGTAACAAGCAAATACTAAAAAGAGGAGTTTCAAAACAGCATCACGCAAGACCACATCCCTTCACATGCAATCCTTCTACAAGCAGATAGTGGAGGAACTTACAGAGTCTTCAGGTTTGGAATTTGGGTTAAGGTTGAAGGAATAGGACCGCTCAACTGATTATTCTTCAAATTCCTGCATTCGCCAGCTCAGCTTAGGACCCATAATCGCATAAAAGCAGAGCACCACAGTGAGTATCATTCTGGTTTCAAACTTACAAAAACTCAAGCTGCTTTAGCTTTGATATTGAGAAGGGTATATCACCATATAGCTGATTATCAGACAAATCCCTGAATTTTCATTAAAAAAAAAAAAAGGGTTATTTGACCATTCTTTGAACGACATGGATATTTTGAAAATGACCATTGACGAAAGAAAAGAATAGCACAAAGGTTCATACAGATAAATAAGTGCAGCGCAGTTCCCAATTTCATCTGGAATCTGACCAGTCAGCTTATTTCCCTGCAAATCACTGTCATTTCCAAAAAATACATTCAGATTCAGATTCTATGTATAAATGGAAGCATTTGATGAGGAAGTAAAAGGTCTTAGAGAAAGTAAGTTAGAGGAGTAAGAGTGAACCAAACAAACTCAATCATGCATACATGGATTGCAAGTTTCTCAAATCGCCAATGGCAGGTGATATCTCGCCACCCAGATTCAAACTTGACAGATTCCTTCAGAAGCAAAACAAAGCACTAAAAGTTAATTCAACATAACAAGACTAAGCACTCACATCAAAATACATTCCCCCTAAGCTAAAGCCTATTAACAAAATTGATACATCAACCTAAGATATAAGAAAAAGGCTCTTTATACAAATATATAAACAATAAATTTCAGGGATTAATGATTACTGGAGCATGAAACAATCTAGTGCAATCAATCTGACGTTTATCATTTTCAATGCAGTCCAAAGCTTAAGAAAGTGTTTTGTCATTGTGGATTGTGCATGCAACATTATTGTAATCAAGTCTTAGTCAAGACGTTCAAAGCATAAGGCAAGAGAGATAGAATCATACAGAGTAAGCACAGTAAGAGTTAAATTATCACAATAAACTCCACGCCATGAACAGAAATCATCATTGTGCAAGTCATCCCAGTCAAGCAAAACATCTGCTATGCTGCTGAAGGAGGCTTTAATCTCCATTAATGCTTGTCCTAGGCATGTGATTAGCATAAAATAAGTCACCACCTCAAAAACAAAAGTACTTCAGTAAAATATGAATGTCTATATATGCTGCTCATTCGTTTAAACAAAAACAGAAAGGGAACTTCAATTTTATTTTTCCTACCAAGAGCTTTAAACTAGTGACTTTCATCTTAAAGCAAATGAGAGACAATCAATCCGATCATACAAGGGTATTGTAAACTCAAAGTAATATTTACCACAATGTTATACATTGTGAAATTCATTTGATTATCTTATTATTTTCCATTGATACGGTATTCAAGGTGATATCTCACATATACGTCTGCCAGTCAATAAGAATATTATAAATCAGCAGTTCTTAAGTCTAGAACTTCAAACACAATATAAGGGGAAGTGCTACCTCGCATCAGCATCAAAGGTTTCAAAGAATGATGAGATTAAAATAAAAAAATAAAAGAGAGAGAGAGAGAGAGAGAGATGAAAACTGCAAACGCAGAAACGAAAAGGCATCACCCAGCACTATCTTATTAACTGCTTATTGAAAATGAAAATACAAACACAAAAATTCAATTTATTGCAAGACTTTATTAAATTTTCAGCAAGGATTGGTTAATATCCATTCAATAAAAGCTTTATTCTTCAAAAGTTAAATTATTTTGTATCAGTTAAAATTATCTATTAGTTACATCTAAATTCACAAAAGTATATATTCTGTGATATGCTTGGAGGTGTTTGGGTGACATCAAAACCATGATTTCAGAAGTAAATACATGAAAGACTTCGTCTCGATTTGTAAAAAATACTTCTGAAAAGTGATTATTGGAATAGACAACCACCCCTTTATTCTGATGATATTATTGATCAGATTCGCGCGCACGCGCGCGCACAGATATTTACATCCGTATTTAAATGTATGTATCATGGATTTATCATACAATACAAGCAATAAACACAAAACACTTTGATTAAAAAAATATAATTATAACTCATAGTATATCACTTTTCTTTTTTGCTATTTGATTGTAGCAGTTTAGAGTGTGTATTTGAAAGAGTCACATCAGTCGGAGAGAAAAGAATTTAACAAAAACGAAGCGTTTTATACCAGTGGAAAAAGCTTCTCACATAAAACAGGAGCCAGATGTAGCCAAAGAGAAGAAAAAGGAAAAAGAAGCCATATGAGTTTCACTAACTTAACGCAGCAGATTCTATGTTTTGCAGCCAAAAAATGGAAAAATAACATCAATAGGGGAAAAAAAACAATTTCCTTCTGTATTGGTTGAATAGTTAACGTTTGGTGAAAAAGTTTCCATTATGCCTAGTGGGTTGAAACTCCACTGCATAAACAGTAAAAACTGTCAAAAAAAAGTCACTTCTTTGTCAACCATCTGCGAAATGCTACTTCATTTTCATTTTATTGCTGACTAGGCAGAAAATAAAAGGAAGAACGGGGGAAAAACAAGTACATCTTCGTCTCTTGCACACTCTCATTTTCCCTTGCACTTTCAGAAATGGAGGGAGTCATAAAGATGACAGAAAACAAAGATCACAAAACATTTAGGTTCAGTGAGGAGAAGTAAGAACAATGGAATGGAAGGTAATGATTACACAGTAATAAGTCGACATATAAATACACACACATCTATATACCTTCTTGGCTAATGGAGGAGGCAAATGGAGAGAGGAGAAAGAAAAACGCCATTGCTACGACAAGATGCTTCCTTTTCTGCTTCTGCAAACAGAACAGCACAAGCCCATCTTCCATTGCGAACAATCACGAGCAGAAGTAGAGAAGACAGTGATGGTTAATGAAATAACAAGGGAGAATAGATAAATATCAGAGCTTGAGTTTTGACCCTTCTTTGCTTGTTTTTTCAGTGCATGAGAGAGAGGGAGAGAGACAGAGAACCAGAGAGAGCAAGCAGGCGTTTGGCGTGAACTAGGAGGAAAAAGAGTGGAGGGGGTGTAATGAAGAGAGAGAGAGTGGGAAGGACAGAATCATAAAGCCATAATGCAGCAGAAAGCAAATTTGGCTCACTCTACCCTGCTACTTATGGCAACGTTTCAGCCTTTAAGCACAAATCTCTGTGAACCTGTTTGCACTGCTTTTTCGTATAATACTGCATAATTAAAAGAAGCATTTAACACGCATCTGTGATGTTGTCGTTCCTATTAATAACTCATGAGCTATAACCAATGGATAATGCTATAACACATAATGTTATAACCCAACGTCTGCGTTTTAAATTCTTGCTCTCAACTAGTAACTGTTGAGAGAGAAATTATTTAACTTTTTATACAAGCAAACACTATTACGTCGAGAATAAAGTTAAACTGTATGGTATGCCTAGTGCAGTAGTGTGCAAGTGTATTTAAATCTTATCAATTATTAAGAGCTTCCCCGATCATGTCAGAGTTTATTGGCCAAACAGATATCTCAAAATTCAAGATTTTATAATTTAAATAATTTTTAGTCTGTATTTTTACATATAATATAAAAGCTTCAGCAAAAAGCCTGTTCTTTATAGGTCATGGATGTTCTTTATAGGTCATGAATGGTGTTGCCAATTTTTAAAATTTATAATTATAATTATAATAGTTAGTCATTGATAATTTTTCCGGCCAAAAAATTAATAATTTTTTTAAGAAAATAAAACTTGGGGTATTTCCTTGAACAGAAGTAAAGGATTCGGCGTGGCTTAAGGCTAGGGTAGAGGGGGTCAGTACAGTGTTTCAAAATAAGAAACAGGGTTGCCTCAGCCTCATTGGTTAGTTGGAGAAGGGGGTTAGTTAAAAAGATGTGACAATTACAGTTAAGGCCCAAAACTCGGTTTTTTCTGTTTTTTGCCTGCCAGGGTTTTGAATTTAAAATCCCTCATGACACGTAAAGTTGAATTATTGAGGTTCTAATATTTGTAATTGAATATTTATTCGTGGTAATTAAGCTCCCCAGCTATTATTTCTACCTAAACAGATGTCCAGAAGTTCAGAAAGTCAATTTAATTAGTTATTTCTAAAACAATGTATATTGATTTTTTAAAATACTCTTTCAATCATTTACATTGGAATTTATTTTTATTAATGAAAATCTTACTTTAAAATATATAACAATAAGTATAGCTTAAAAATTATAAACCTAAAAATAAAAAAAATTAAATAAAATATTATAATTAGAACCGGAAGTAATTTTTTGTTGTTAGGAGAAAAAGCAAAAAACAAAAAAGTGACAGAAGTGTAACTTCAATCTAATTCTATAAAATATTTTCTATTTAGAGGAAGACTTTGAGATGAAAGATTTTCACTTGAGTAGAAGCAAAATAAAATATATGCGTTGTAATTCTATGAAAAGATAAGTTAATGATAATTTGGAGGTAAAGACGGGAAATTAAATCATTTCTCAAGTGTTGAGATTCAAATATCTAGTATCTATCATATATAAGGGTAGTGAAATTAATTGATACGTTTCTCATAAAAGTTGGGTGGTTAAAGTGAAAGAAGGCTACCTAAATTATTTGAGTTAAGAAAGTATATGAGAAGCTTAAGAAAAATTCTACCAAAATGCTATAAAACCAACCGTATTATATGATAGTAAATGTTAGGTGACAAAAAAAAACAGGAGTATAAAAGTTAGTAAAAAAAAAAGTTGAGACAAATGTGTGGTCATAAAAAAAATATATGATTCGAAATAAGTAGGTGTGATGCTTATCAAAAAGAAAATGGTTGACTATTGTTTGAAGTGGTCCCGGGCCGGGCATGAAAAAAAGGATCAATTGGAGGTGCTAGTAAAAAAGATAATCAACAATCTAGAGTCATATAAACAAGGGTAGAGAGAAAGATCAAGAAGAATATTTAATAGATCATTGAATGAGACATTCCTATAAATAACTAATCTAAAAACTTGCTTGTTGATGGAACATAATAGAGTCATACAATCAATATAACTGGCCCTCCCTGGTAAGAGAAGGTTTGTTGTTGTTATTGTTGTTGTCTTTGATTTTTCATATAATAATAACTTTTTTTAACAATTAAATTTAATATATTAACATTACTCATATTTAAAATTTTAAAAAACACTTACGAAATAAAAAAAACAACGATAAAACTATATAAAAGTTAAAAAAATTAAAAATATATTTTTGTGATTGAAATATGAGGCTGAATGAAATTTATAAGTAATTATTGAAATAATAAAAATAAGATTAAAATTTATTTACCATTCTAAAATATTTTGTGTTTCATCCTGTATTTTAAAATATTTTTTAAGTATATCTAATACCCTAAAACAGTTCATAATACAATTTTTCTTAAAATATTAAAATATTGGATGCACTTAAAAAAAAAAGCATTTAACAGCGTCAGGTGAATCAGTAAATTTATTAAAATTTTAAAAACATCTAAAAAAATATTTTAGGTTGGAGAGATATTTTTAAAAAATTTTTAAGATGTGAAATCGACGGGAACAACATGGTTAAACGTTAATTTATTTTGTAATGGGTATAAAGTTTACTGTTTATTTAGAATGGCTCAGTTTACGGAAAGGTGATAAATGATTTAAATGATTTCAAATGGCAGCTCCTCCTCCAGTGAAGTGACCCCCGAAAAAAAAAAGAAGGGACAATTATGAAATATTTAGTGATAATGGTGAGTAATGATGATGATTTCTGGACTAATAAAATGAATACTGTTTAAAAAGTGAAATATTATGATATGAGTAAAGATATCGTTGGTTACAACGTACAAGAATCAGAGATAGGATCAAAATGAGGGCAGGAGGCTGCCATAAAGTAAAGTAATGGCATTGCTGCAGCCTGCAACTTGCAGACAGACAGTGACAGACAGACTGACTCTGAAGCCAATTCCGCCGTAGCCGCCGTCACTTGCTTGTCCTCCGTCGGCGATTCTTTGTCCTCATTAATGCCCCTATCCCCTCCCGTCTATTTACATTCTTTTACCCCCCCCCCCACTTTTTAACCATTCAATCGCGGCCAGCAAGCTAGCGGTTTTTAATCTTTAACATATATAATTATTATAAAAACTATTTAAAAAAATAAAAATATAAAAAAAATAAATTAAAATTTTATATTAATCAAATTAAATATCAAATTAACTCTTATTTAAAAAAGACTGGAAATAGTATTATAAGTAATTTAATATTATTGAGTCTAGATATTTTTAAATTCAGTTCAAGGCGGCCTAACTGAGATATTTACTACTGGTTTTTAACCACTGTTAAATCCATATTTTATATATGATATATGTATAATCTATCCTTTTGAGTATTTACTACTGGTTTTTAACCGCTGTTAAATCTATATTTTATATATAATATATATATATAACCTAAATCTAAAATCCTCTTTTTTCTTGGGCAATTTATACGAGGTTAAGTGATACTTTTCCTAACTTGAAAGCAAGTTTCTATAAAGTTTTTTAAATATTTTAAATTTGATGAATATGATGATGAACATTAACTAGAATTAAAATCACCTCTACTCATAACTCAATGCAAAGAAAATTTACAACGCCACCGTTACACAAGACTACGAATCAGAAAAACGATATCTCAGAGAAAAACAGAGAGATTATATCAATTGTAAAATAATTGCTCTGGCGATTGAAGTCTATGTTACAGCGATTGGATTTATCTACAACTGTAACCACCTGACCAATGATACCAGAGAACCAGAAATACAGAAAAGTTAAGATTTACTTTCCAACAGACACATGGTTTTTTTCTGTGTACATATAAACACATATAATATAGCTTATTAAAGATTTTATCATACATTTTATCATATGTTATATACATGTTGACATGTTGATATATTAACCTCCACGGAGACTTCGTTTCAACAATTCAGACAAGTTAGACTCAAATGGCAATGCAAAAGCAGATGGTGACGGCCTAATAATCAAGCAACAAGAGAGTTCAATTATGAATCCTCACCTCATCAAATTGTTTCTTACGACCTTCTCAGCAAATTCACTACAGTAGTTGACTCGTAACAAAGCGATAATATAAATACAATTCTTTCAGTATATAGTGTCAGTATTGAGTCAATTCACATAACCTTTTTCCCCCTTTCATTTGAGTTGCAACAGCCACAACCAGAAACAACAAAAGAAAATAAATAAAACAAGAAACCATTTGGTTTCTTCATGAATCAGGACTCCGGATTAGCATTGTGCCATCCCTTTGTGCATGGAGGAATACTCATGAATTCATCAAATTCTTTCACGTGAATGTCACAGCACTTCCACTGCAAAATCACATGAAAAAAAGGATGTGGCTTTAGCTCTGAAGATCCAGAAACACAACTTAAACACTAATTATAAACAAACTGGAATACGCAGGAAATTATTCAATGCCCACCCCTCTCAAGCGGTCATGAAAAACAGCAGGACCAGGATGGTAATTGCATGCAGTATCATGGTTATCCTTTTCCTTGAATTCTTTACCGCAGCCTTTATTTTTGCATATCTGGGTTTCGTTTATATCAACTATCTTCTTAGGTTGTTTTGGAACAGCACTTGCTTTGCTTTCAGAAGAGTCATTTACAGCAGGATTCAAAGGTTTGCTTTGAGGACCTAAAAAACAGAGCACAGGAAATTTAACTCAGGAAGCTTGACAAGGAATTACATTAAAAAAAAAATCTAAATAAAAATGACGTGTGAGTGTGGTTCAAGATGCAAACTGAAATAATAAGAGTGGTAAGAAGGTTCATCCTCCATATCCAAGCTATTTCACTGCATTTAGCTAATAACAGATAAAAATGTATACCATGATCTGAACAAAAGAAGCCCTGTCGACACCTGGAACAGGAATCCCTCGAAGATGCATTGGTAGTTGAAGCTGGCGCAGGAGCTGGGGCAGATACAGTATTCTTTTTAGGCTGTGCAAATACTTGCTTCTCCGTTGTGTGTTTTCCAGTCTTGCACCTTAATAAAGAAAACTTTGGTCAACAGATGCTAAAAGCATCAAGCATAGAGAACTTACAAAAGCTGTTCAAAATGTGCTAAGTGGAAATATTTTGATTCCAGGTATGCAGATGTCAGCATAATAAGCTGTTGCATCACTGGTACAATGAAATTATATTTACAAAAACCCTGTCTTCTGCCTCTGCTCTGTGCAGAATATAAGATATATTGCCGTTCTGGTTTGGTGGAGATAAATTTGAAAACAAATGTGAAATCAGCCTCAGAGATCAGAACGTGCCAAAGAGCACTTAGTTTCACATTCAAATGTAATAACTTGAGATAAATTTTCCGTGGAATTATAGCTTGGCAGACTCCCCTTTCTAGTTCCTCTCCATTAATTTTGGAGTCAGAGACTTGTATCAATATTTTCCCCAGCAAGCAATAATTGCGGGTAAAAGCATCCTTGATGTATCAATAAGCATTTAAGAAATTATTTTAATCAGCAACGGAAGCACCTGTCAAGGGGTCACTGACATGAAAGAAAAGATGTAAAACAGCAAAACCAATCAAGCCAGGCAATTGCTTTATATGAGATCTGACATTCGTAACTAGCAATCTCCCCAATCCAAGTGCTTGATTTCATGATTTTGATTTCTGGATGTTAAAGACTCAACCATGATCCTCATGTAGCCATTACTCTAAATAGGGTCCATTCTTTTAAAATGACCAGTTGACGGCAAATAAAACTTTGCTATTCACAAAAAGAGAAGGGAGGAAATGGGAGAAAAAGATGTCTCACCCTGGAATCTCTAAAAACAAGCTAAAATCATGGCTTCGTTTCTTGCAGCAGCTCCATTCTTTCATACCATCATGAAATATGGGCTATAAAGTAAATTTAAAGTTTAATGAATCGCAAATTTAAACAAAGGACAAAAAAATAAAGAAGCAGTGGTGAGGAAATAGATGAAAATGCATGGACTTACTCCCTGTTGAAGCCAAGATGCCAGGTGTCAAATGCAAATCCCAAAAATGCCAGATGAAGAATGATCAGTAAATTCAATGAGGATGTCATGGTATAAATAAACAAAAGGAATAAAAAAATGGATGCCCTTAACTTCATTCAGTTCATAAGGAATAAATTAGTAATGATATTGACACATCACACATATGATGTTATCAGAGCTCAGAAAACGAACATGTATAAAAACAAGCGTGAACACATGTGCAGTCCCCTAAAAAGGCAATCAACAAATAAATTCATGAAACTTCACCTGGTGAGATAAGCCCACAGACCTAAATCGAATATTAATTTTTGCAGAACCAAAAGAAAATTAAAATTTCAAAGACAAGACAAATATTTTGCAGAACAAGAAGTTAAATAAAAAGTAACATTGCACGGTCAGTTTCAGAATATTGTAGATAACAGCATTTTAGTGAATGAGAATTACCACTGAGTCAAACAAAATTCACATGAAGCAGATAATTCATCATAGATCCAGCAATAAAATGGATGTGATATAGACTAAGGCTGCCAGAGAGAATCTTCAATGTTAACCTTGAGACCCTCAAGTCTACATGAGGGCAACATCATGGTTCAGTTTGAGAACTATTCTAAAGGGTTAAGAAAGTTCTACAAATGAAAATGAACCCCGCATTATAGAAATCAAACGGATCAATTTTATCAAGAGGTGAATGATTAGCTAATGATTGGAATTAGCAAGAAGACATGATGCTCTAAGATCTATCCCCCACATTCATAGAATCATCCACCAGAGAACAGTAATACCGGATCACCAATTAAAAAATACTAAATTCGGGTTGCGTGAAAATATGAAGCACCAGAAAATCAGATCATCATTGTAGCTCCAAGCGTTCTTACTCAATATTTCCTGTTAGAATTTTCTTTCTGAATTCCTGGACATATAATATATACTCAAGCGCTTCCCATTACCCTTGTCATTAGGATATGGGTGGTACATTTTTAAGCTTTAAAATAGTCTTAAACCCTAAATCATCAACTGCTAGGACTTTCAACACACAAGTCACTCTTTTTAAGGCACAAAGACAACATAATCCAATCAATATTCCTAGAATCACCAACTCATCACTGTCAACTACATTTCCGGGTAAGGGGTAAGAAAAACACGAGAGCTGGTGAAACATAAGAGGTGAGGGAAGGGAGAAGAGAAAGTGTGATATTGCGTACCGATTCATGGTATAGACAGGAACCCTCAGGGTTATCGTCCTCAGTGAACATGGCATCGCAGCCAATCCGTTGGCACTGAAGCTTTACAGGTTGCCGCTCCATTACTTTACTGGACAAGACAATAAGTGCAATCGGCGACGAGTTTCAAGTCGAAAGCACAGATCAGAAAGAAGGGTAATGAGATGCTCTGTTAACGGAACTGATACTGTTCTCTGATTGGGCTTTAAAAGAAAAATCGGGAAGAATCCACCGGTGTTCCCGGCAACTTTCCCTCTAGGGAAAAATTGTTTTAATGTAAAAATCGACGATTAAATCATGACATGAATGGTTTGCGCAAAAAGAAAAAAAAAGAAAAAAAAAAAACTGTCGTTGACCTTGACCATACGTGCATGTGTGTCTCTGTGTGTATCACAGATAATATAATTTGGACCAGAAATCACAGATAATATAATTTGTTTTGTCAGATGGTACATAAAATTATACTAATTCAATTTTCCTACTATACTTCTAGTGACAGTTTTACTTTTAGGGAAAATGACATTGAGGTCCCATGGAGAAAAAAATACATCAAATAGGTCCCCTATAATCTCATAATTTTTCTGAAGTCCCAAAGGGACCTCAGTGCAATTTTCAGAATTCACAAATTACTGTCTTGCCCTGCCCCTACCATCAGAAACAAAACGAGATAAGTTCATTTGAGTGAGGAGTTCCTGCCCAATATGCTTGAGAGAGAAGACACAGGGAAAGAGGGAAGGAGCCATTGATGATGAAATATCTTCTCCATTACCATTAGTGAACTCCAAAGAGCTTCCATGTGAATCTCTACAAATGTTCAGGTGTGGAACTTTCTTTCCTCTCCTCTCCTACCTTTCTTAACAGATTGTGCATTTGTTTGGGAATGGGAAATCAGAAAATTGTTTTTGTCTTTTTGGGTTGCTTGTGGGTGGTTTTGGGAATGGGATTCACAAGTTAATCAATAGAAAAGCTGTGTTTTTGGTTGGTGTGTGTTAGTAATTTAAGTTGGGTGTGTAGGATGATCATGGGTGCTCTGTTTTTGGATTGCTTGTGGGTGGTTTTGCTCTATTTTGATGTTAGTTCAGTGGCAAAGGAAGAAGAAGATGAAGGTTAGTGTGGGTGGAAACCCTTAGTACGAAATGGGATATTGTGTTGTCAATCAGGCCGCGATAGTTGTCAACGGATGCCGCGACAATTGTCAATATAGCTCTTTCACTTGTCAATGACAGTTACGTGATTCTTGATGCAGGTTTAAATTGCTGATAGCGGGTACATCTAGAAAGCATCTATTTTGCTTTGTTCACATAGGGAAAAAGTTTATAAATGATGGAGAAGATGATATGAGATATGTGGGAGGTAGTGTAAGAACAACAAATATAAAGGATGGCACAAGTTATGAAGAATTAAAAAAGATTATATCATCAATTGCTGGAGAAAAAAGTAACTCTTTTTTTTTAAAATTCTCAGTTCTGTATAACTCAACAGCACTCAGCTTAGAAATTAACAACTTGAGTCATCCAAAATAACAATTAATATAATAGAAGTTAATGACAAGTGATATTAACAATTTCATAACAAATAAATGTGTGAATATTAACAATTGATATTCAAAATTTTTACAATTGAACGTGTCATTATTTATAATGTTAAATAATATTTGCATTAAAATATAATTATTAAGAAGAAGATGTTACTCAAATTTATATTCAATTGATAAGGGACAGTGTCTTCATTAACAATTCACAGTGCTCCATTGATAAGTCACAGTGCCACCATTGACAAGTCATAATGCCACCATTGACAAGTCATAATGCCACCATTGACAAGTCAGTGTGCCACCATTGATAACTGATAATTCGCCGTGGCGTCTGACCATATCCGCCGCGGCTCCCCCATTTGTTCCAAGGAGCTGTCATTCTATGTAAGGCGCCGCGGCTCCTGATCATATCTGCCGCGGCACCCAACCCTTTTAAGAAGTTATTTGATGAATAACAAGTCACAGTGCTATCATTGACAAGTCAATGTGCCACCATTAACAAGTCATAGTGTCACCACTGACAAGTCATAGTGCCACCACTGACAAGTCAGCGTGCCATCATTGACAACTGATAATTCGCCGCAGCGTCTGACCATATCCGTCGTGGCTCCCCTATCTGTCCCAAGTAGCAGTCATTTTGTGTAAGGCGTTGTGGCTCCTGATTATATTCGCCGCGGCACCCAACCGTTTTAAGAAGTTATTCGGCGAACAACAAGTCACAGTGCTACCATTGACAAGTCAGTGTGCCACTATTGATAAGTCATAGTGCCACTATTGACAAGTCATAGTATTACTATTGACAAGTCACAGTGCGATCATTGATAAATCATAGTGTCACCATTGACACTTCATTAATAATGATTATATATGACAATATAACTAAAATATAATATGATAAAGTGATTGAAAATATCATATGATACTAAAACAGGTTAAGTAATTTGAATTCATATTGTTGACAACTTATATCAGTAAATTAATTGACAAGTCACAGTGCTCTATTGACAAGTCATAACAAGTCTAATAACAATACAGGGTGCAAGTAATGACAACTGAAATGATAGTAGAATCTAATATGCCAATTCATAGTCAACTTTCATTTATACCTTCATATACATAAAACTACACCTATTTCACAATCCATCCCAAAAAAACATAGGGGTTGCATATAATTACAAAACTAACTATTAGTGTGTATCCATTTACAAAAAATTCCCTTCACACAATTGAGAATTTCAGAAGAAATGAGTTGCTTTCTTTTCCAGCAATTGATGATATAATTTCCTTCAATTCTTCATAACTTATACCCTCCTTTACATTGGTTGTTCTTATACTACCTCCCACATATCTCATATCATCTTCTCCATCATTTATAAACTTTCCCCCTATATGAACAAAGCAAAATAGATGCTTTCTAGATGTACCCGCCATCAGCAATTTAAACCTACATCAAGAATCACGCAACTGTCATTGACAAGTGAAAGAGCTATATTGACAACTGTCGCAGCATCCGTTGACAACTATCACAGCCTGATTGACAACACAATATCCCATTTCGTACTAAGGATTTCCACCCACACTAACCTTCATCTTCTTCTTCCTTTGCCACTGAACTAACATCAAAAAAGAGCAAAACCACCCACAAGCAACCCAAAAACAGAGCACCCATGATCATCCTACATATCCAACTTAAATCACTAACACACACCAATAAAAAACACAACTTTTCTATTGATTAACTTGTGAATCCCATTCCCAAAACCACCCACAAGCAACCCAAAAAGACAAAAACAATTTTCTGATTTCCCATTCCCAAACAAATGCACAATCTGTCAAGAAAGGTAGGAGAGGAGAGGAAAGAAAGTTCCACACCTGAACATTTGTAGAGATTCACATGGAAGCTCTTTAAAGTTCACTAATGGTAATGGAGAAGATATTTCATCATCAATGGCTCCTTTCCTCTTTCCCTGTGTCTTCTCTCTCAAGCATATTGGGCAGGAACTTCTCACCCAAATGAACTTATCTCGTTTTGTTTCTGATGGTAGGGGCAGGGCAAGACAGTAATTTGTGAATTCTGAAAATTGCACTGAGGTCCCTTTGGGACTTTAGAAAAATTATGAGATTTCAAGGGACCTATTTGATGTATTTTCTTCTCCATGGGACCTCAATGTCATTTTCCCTTACTTTTATTGTTCAAAATACGTATCAATATATTTATTAATTTTATATGGAGATATATAGTACTTGACAAAATTTCTTGTGCGCGGGGGAAAAAAACACCAGAAACCGAGTTTAAAGCCCTTGGGAAATTAATCACAGGTGATCCTTCTTCAAATATTTTACTGCAATTGATGTTTGAAATTTATTTCTAAAAGAAAGTACTCCTCCAGTCCTAAATATAAGACCCACTATTTAGTTGGTCTGGATACACTATAAAGTGGGTCTTATATTTAGGACTGGAGAAGTATCTTTTTTTTCTCCCTAGCCAGAGAAAAAAAAGTATTCCTCCGGTCCTTAATATATGACCTAATTGTTGAGTTGATTTTGGTTCAAATATAAGATCTGTTTCTCATATTTATTAATTTTTTCTAAATTATCCTTGATACTCTCTCAACTATAATTAAATAAAAGAGGGAAAGAGGATATTAAAAAAATGATTATAGTGTTTTAAGAAGAACATTTTATATTTTTTATAAATAACTAACTTACTTTTTTTTTTAATCTCATCAAATTAATTAAATAAGTCATATATTAAAAACAGGGGAGTCTTTCATTACCCATCAAAACATTCAAATGGATGAAAATAAAGTTGGACCGAACTAGTGGATTTTTTCAACGCCGGACCCAGTTTTGTTTTTGGTCACCTCTTTTTGCCACCGCGTTGTAGAATGATTATTGACAGGACATAAGTTTATTACAAAATGTTATATTTTATAATTTAAACTATTTTTTGTAACAGCTATCTAATATCTTGGACTAATTAGTTTAAATTTGAATGAGTTTTGCTGGCCCCATAGCCCATCAAAACTAAAAAGAATTTTAAAAAAAACAAAAGAAAAAAGTGGCCAAGCAAGATTTTGACTGATACAAACTAGATGAAAAACTGTCGAATAAAATTTAAAAAGAAGAGACTTGATGTTAAAAATGGACTAAATTTCAGAACACATCCAGATTGAATTTTCCAAGACCCACTCAACCATGCAATATGAAGCCACTATGTAGAAGAAAATAGTTAACTAAATGAAATGAACAGCATAAGCGACGAGGTAGGGCCTATAATTTCTTTTCTTATATACATTATCCAAAGAATACAATAAAAAATTCTATGCCTATTCACACCAGACTTTCCAGTGAGTGTATCATTAGCAGTGGAATATGCAGACTTTTTTCATCTGAAATGTCAGCCATAGAACTTGCAGTTGAAACAGTGTAGAAGAAACCCTGAATTCAATAGGAACTTTGGTGAGTCACAACGTTCCTTTCACTTCAATCATGGTAGCTTTCTCCTGTGAGAACAAGAGATAGAGGTGGTTATAATAACCATCTTTAAGTGTACTTGTACAAGCAAAGCATCCTTGGTTTTTCCAGTGTTGCTGTAGGCATGGCCCCAAGGATGCCTAGGTTCATAGCAAATGAAGCTGAGACAATACATGTCAAGGACATATTACTAGACATGTAAACCTGCTGCACAAGCTAATTCTAGAAATGTAATAAATCTCAGTCCACGAGAAGGGGGGTGTAATAAATTCAAATTAGAAAGAGAGAAGAGCATAAATTTCAAGTAATTGCAGAACTGGCAGCTTTCAACAAACATATTCGAAGATATAGAACATAGCAAGAAGTCATTGAGGTGTATGTGTTGGGTTCAACCCCTTCTCATATGTTATCCTTTCCTAACTTTCCTTTCCAGGTCATGGACCCCTCCTATGTAACCCCAAAAAACAAAAAACACAGCAAGACCTAGTCAAGGATTGAACATTTAATTTTTGACATAAAGTAAAATTAAAAAGAAGAAAAAGATCACGCCTTTTAGGTTGTGGCATGTCAAGTCTGGCTCATATGCATGTCAATGACATATTACCTCATTCTGTGCACTGGTTCGTCCATTACTCTCAGGGGGGAACCAATGCATAAGCACACCTAGATTCATGACAGCAGGTATCAATTTGAACAATAGAGGGGTTGTAACCTGAAAATCAGCAGTCATCGGGTTAATATTTCCAATTTTCCAATTAAATTAAACATTATGAAAAAACAGGGTGTCTTGTAGGGCAATGAAACTTACCAGACTAAGAGCTGTCGTCCCAAGGAGGAGGAGATACATTTTCCCCTATGGCAATAGGTGCAATTAATTAGCAAACATAATATGAAAATGCTTCTCAAAGGCAGCATGAAGAACGGAAAAGGCAATGCATCCAATAATAACAGAAGCGTGATTGTGCAAGATATTATAAGTAATGGCAACACATATATTAATTGAAGTACATCTTGCAAGGTGTAACATGTAACACTGCAGAAACAAAGCATACAAAGAAGATGACCAGCAACTTCCATCAGATGGAAATGTCCGAAGCTAAGCAGCATGACAATCTGTGATGTGAAACAGAAGACAAGAAGAGAGAAGAACCTCAACAAGATGAAGATTGGAAGCTCGGCCAAGAAGAACAAAAGCAAACTCTCCAATCTGAGCAAGTGAAATCCCGACCTAGATTGTCATGTAAACAACCATTCAGTACTCATGAAAATGTTAGCGAACAAACCATCATCCAAAACGTTGTGGCAACTTACCAGAAACGATGTCCGAACACTATAACCAAAGGCTTTAGTAACAACAGCAGCAACAGCAGTCTTAACAACTATAACAAGGATAACAGATGCCAGCAAGATATCTACATGGATCCATAGGAAATGTACATGTATAAGCATTCCAATGCTTGAGAGGAAGAGAGCTGCAAACAGGTTACGGATTGGTTCCACCTACAATATATTCATGCATCATGTCAGATGTAGCCTTTTTAATCACAAACCAAAACATTCCTTAAAACAGAATCAGCAAATCAACCTAAGAGTACCTGGTCCAAAGTATGCTGTGCAAAGTCTGTTGTAGAAATCATAACACCAGCAACAAATGAACCCAGCTCAAGGCTAAGGCCAAGCTTGTCACTGCACTGAAAAGAGATTTCAAAACATCAAAATGATATTTGACAGCATCAAGGATTTCAGAAGTTTCCAGCACAAATAATACGATGCTGCATTTATTTGCTTGCTCAAAATGGAGACATTGATTGACTTAACCTTATCAGCCTTTTCATGCTTCAGTAATTAATGAGGCTCACCTACAAGTTTACCTTTAATATTTTCTAAGAAAGTGTGATAGGAATGGTAAACAAACGTCCGCTAATGCAAGAGAAGAATGATATTTTCGTTCTTGGTTATAAAAGAATAATGCATGGAAAGATGAGAAGTCACTGTCACTAACTAATTTCCCAAAAAAAAAAAAAAAAACTAGGGTGCATTATCTCACCCATGCTGATAGTAAGCAGAATGCCACGGCAGCTAGCTGGTAAAGTTCATTTGTCTGGAGCACATGAAAAGGGGAAAAAAAATCAATATAAAGTTCATTGTTGTGAGATGAGTGTGGTTTGTGTGTGTGGGCGCATGTGCTTTTGAGAATCACCTGAGATGACAGCTGCATCATCAGTTTTAGAAAGAAGGGAACAAACGACCAACACAATAATGATATCGCTGTGAGATACATGGACAATACAAGCAACCTGAAGTTGGAAATAGTTAGATCAGATGCTACCTCATTGGCTACAGTTTCTACTAAGATTTAACATACAGCAAAATAAAAACTTGTGAAAAGGATGTAGTAACCCCATAAGATTCAGTTGGCTTGCACCAGCAGTACAAGAGGTTAATTACGTTGACTTATAAGAGAGAAAGAAACTTCGTGAATGAAAAAATAAAACAAAAGGAAATATAAATGCACGTGACAGACTTACAACTTTCCCATTGAAATTATTCCTTGTAAAAGGCCACTGGTGCCACCCAAAACTGGGAGCAAAGCAAAGAGTAAACCCACAGCACAATCCTGATACAAAAAGACAAAAGAATGAATGATATGCAAGATAACTAAATCATTTGACCAATCAGAACTTGGAAAATACCTGAAAAATAAGAGTTCCAATTGTTACTTGACCATGAAGAGAATTATTTATGTTCCGCTCCACCAAAAATTTCACTACCTGGTAAAAGATCAAAGACACGGAAAAATGTAGCTTATAATCTAATAAGAATAAGGTCTAATGACAAATAACAAGACGTCATTTCTAGTTTTAGAAAATATGTGACAGTATATTTTTATTACCACCGCTGTTGATGACATGGACAGAAAGGAACCAACAAATACACCTTCTGACAACTTGGCTCCAAAGAACTGCAAACCATGAGAGCAGAAATGTTCAGTTTCCATTAAGAAACAATCATAGCTAGTGGATTCAATCAAAATCTATATTACAGTGTAAGCACTACCATACCATGGTAAGAATGCCGCACAAGAACATAAATGTCACAATTTGAAGCAGTCCACCCAAAACAGCAACAGGCCCAACAGCTTTTAACTGCAAGGATAGAAGTCTAAGGATAGCTTTATGCAAAAGAAGCTTTTGCAGGATAAAGACAGCAAACCTTTGACAAAGAGAACTCCAGCCCCAGAGCAAACAAAAGAAAAACAACACCAAACTGAGCAACAGTTTCAACCTGCATACAAGAAAGACGTCAGCAGCCATCAAACCAAAAATGATTGAATGATAACACATATAAGCACGCTATACAACAAACCCTGATGCTGCCCTTTCTTTATACAAAAGTTGATGGTTGTCATTCATAAAATATCACCGCACTATATCTCCAAATACTGAAATGGAACTAAACTAAATGGGCAGGCTCTCTCACATTTGGCTCAGGAATTGCGTTGCAAGTTAATTAATGTGTTATTAGCAAGAGAAATTGATTAGATCACCTTATCTTCAGCCTTCTTGTTTCATTTTGTTTATCTTAAATTTTGTTTCGTAAATTTTATGGCCCATAGTCAAGGTATGAACTTGCACTTTAAGTTAACGCCTCAGGATCATATTTTGAAAACACAAGACAATCATCATTACAGGTTCGATAAACAAATCCAGATTTCACAAGAAACTTAGAAAATATTGAATAATGATAAAATATTCATCCTAAAAATGGCAATCAGAATCTGCAACAGAAATTATGAGCCATAAATTTTAAAAACAGGAGAGACCAAACTGGGCATATCAAAGAAATAGTCACAGCTAAATTACTTCTGCTAAAGATGATCTGAAGTGACGTTTTAATGACTTACCTGTACCATTTCACTAATAAAATTCAATCCCCCAGGCCCAATAAGGGAGCCAGCAAGGAGATAGCCCACAATAACCTACAATATGGGCAAGATATTAGAAGACTGAACCATAGCATTCCCATTTTATAGATCACATTTTTCTGTAACAATCAAATATATCAATATAGTACTAGAAAATGTTGGATCAGCAATCAACTAAAAATATAAAAATGAAAAGCCCCAGATGCAATAATTAGCTATTGTAACAAAATACAGACCGGTTGGCCCAAACAGGAAAAGAGAATTCCACCAATGGCTGCAGAAACTATCGCAACCACCAAATCTGATATTAGCCTGCATGAATTTGAAGCAGTCCAATATTACAGATCGATCTCAGGGTGAAAAAGAGTGGGGAAACAGCAGTATAACCAAGAATTATGAAAATAAAGGGCATTAACAAGCGATGTTTACCATTCACTTAGAAGTAGCACAATTAGCAAAGACAAGATCCAAAGACATAAGCCCAACAAAAACAAGTAATAGGAGGAAGTATTGGTTTTTCCATTCAGCACAATTTTCTTGATGGGGACCGATACTGAAACAAAATTACCTACCATAGGATTAAATTGCCATTCAGATCCATCAACAACTGAAAATTATTTCCAAAAAGGAAGGGGGCAAAAAACATGCCCAGAAATCTAGCATTTTACCAGAGTTATTATATCTGAATTTTTAGAGCATTCTATTATTTAAAATAAATTACAAGCAAAAAATCATAATAAATGTCAACCTTAAATCCAACTGAAGTACTGGGTATTTGGATTTCTTGTTTGACATCACAAAAACATTGTCCTGCCACACAGTAGGATAAACGAATAGATGAGTCGGATGAAAATTAATAAACTAAAAGCATAATGTACAATCAACCAAGGCTTTGCATCATAAGTCAGAACACCTTTCTGTCAATCAAGGTTGTTGCATCATCAGAATCTTCATTCTCCAGGAGAACACGTCTTGAAATTGAAATGATCTGGTAGCACTGATAAGGGGGGGAAATTCAATATAAAAGAGAAAAGGCCTTCTGGTAATTCAAGAAAACTACATCTAATCACCCATTATAAATGACTAATTTATTAGTAACAAGTCGTACTTTCCCTCCTGAGTATCATTTCTCTTGCCTTTATCGTGAGTAATCTTTGCTACAGTCTCCAGTACAGCCTGCAAAATATGACCAAAATGTCTATAACTCACATTTACGTAAACAATAACATAGCTCAACTATCAACAGAAGACTACGTTTGTTCACTATAGACACGAAAGGCAATAAACTGTCACAAAATGAATGTGAGGGGCAAAGATTTGACAAACACAGTACAAGTGCTGTACGAAACAACCAACTTTCAGAGATGGAGGCATCTCTCCTTACATTTCTTTTTGTAATTCCTTTTCATGGGGCTTGTTATATTAAATTGACCAGCGTATGGCAATGAAAACATTATTTTGCTGCATAATAAAATGCATTTTCCCTCTACGATCTATAACTAAAACAATTTACGGCACAAAATATCTGTGCAAACTATGCACACAAAAATAGGCGTACCTGTTGATCAGCTACAGTAGTGTTGAAGCTACTCTTATCAGCTCCTAGCAAAGATGGAAGAGAATAATTAAAATCCATTCACAATGCTTCAAACAGCTTTATGAGCCAGATGATTTATGTTATGGACAGTGAACCAAGAAAATTAGATGAGTCTGGAATGAGAAATAAAATTAAACATAGTATGTAGAGGACAATGCTATCATGTCATTCATTCCCAAAAACACAACGTAATGCTACGATTCACCACCTAACGAATACCCACCAGTACAAGCATAGAACAACGTTAGGGAAGGGAAATTGACAATCGAGCACAGCCTATGTAAGTTTTCATGACATTTGGGCATGAGAGATTTTCATTTAACCACACATCCTGCAACACCTAGCTTAGAACAGAAAAATAAGGAAACTTAAAAAAAAAAAAAAAAAAAAATCCAAAAAGCAGCTTTCACTAACATCCCAACCATGTCAAGCCTCCAAGAACATGGAGCAAATCTAGTTATCTAGATGCTATGGTCAAGTGTGGTAACTCCCTAAACCATGCTGCTTTGTAGATACGCTTATGCACCATATAGAAGTACACCTGCGGGAACACCTTCCCACAAGGCAAATTTTTTCTAAGTTGAAATGCATAATTACTTCCGCTAGCTGATCGGTTGAGTATTTTAGGGGCAGACAAGTTGCCCTTTCGATGCCACCAGAATTTCATTCAACACAACCGAATAAACCACGTCTTACACTAGGAAGTTTCACCCTGGCACTCTGATTTCGCCTTAAGAGCAAAGATTAATGCATACAATTATTTTTTATATAATTTGAAAAATTACAAACAAAAGATCAACTACTTTTGTGCTCTATTCTCCCGAACCAATAAGCAGTTCACAAAAAATGAAAAACGGAGAAGCAATAAGCAAAAAAGGAAATAGCTCCAGGCCCAGGTCAAAGATCATTGTAAAAAATTATGAAATAGCACAGTTAGAAGAGAAAATAAAAACCTTCAGGCTGGTCATTCTCGGAAAATTCTTTCTCAAGGACACGATCGAACATTTTAGCCAAGCTGCCATCACCAGGATCCGATGAAGATGAGTTTGGCATACTCCCGTAGAACCTTTCTCGTACTTCCTTCTCCGATCTGGCGGGAGCACAAACCCTCGCACAAACTGCGATGGATAAAACACAGCACCAGAATCCAAACATCCCCCATTTTTGGGGGACTCCAACTGCCATCAAATTCAATGCAGGTATCGATTTTTTCAGCAAGTGCAATTCAATTCAACAGAAGCATTGAAAAGCTAAGACGAGAAATCAACAGGGAGTGATTCAGAAAAGGAAGCACTTGAAGCGAAGATTCGATCTTTGAAGCTTAAAGAAGTATTATTTCGGAAGGTCGTTACGCGATTTGCAGTTTTGATTCCTTAGGGGCGGGATGTGACCGCAGGTGAACGATCTCACGAGAGCGGGGGGGAAAACAATATTAAGACGAAATTACAAAAAGGTTACGGGGACAGGGACCGCAGTTCGAAGAAGCATGAGGACTTTTTCGTAATTTAAGCTCTGTAGAATTCCGTTTCCACCTGACCCGTGAATTGAAGACGAAGGAAGGCTCACCTTTTTAGTATTATATTAGTTCGGATCTTTAATATGAGATCTTATTTGATTTTTATTTTAATCTTAAATATAAGATTTCAACTCACTCTATCTCTTATATTTATAAATTTTTTTTCAAGGTAGTCCTTCTAATATAATAGTTCTATTCAATATACTTGATTAGTAAGAATATTTTAGAAAAGGCAACACCTATTTATTACAAATAACTAACTTAGTTTATTTTCTTAATCTACTCAAATTAGTTAACTAGTTCTTATAATTAAGATGGGAAGTAGTAATTTATTATTTTGGTGGTTGGTCTAATTACGCTTTCTAAACATTTTTTATTTTATGTCATTGGTTGAAGTTGACAACTTCTTGCGCATATTTGGACCTTTAGGTATAACACTTTTTTTTTTTTTCAAAAAAAGTCCTTTTGTTATTTAGTTAGAGTATGATGGAATTGTCTTCCTTTACGTAGGTGTGTGTCAATTTGGGCATCCCATGATTTTGAACTTTCCTTCCTATGTTGTTTTTCCTTCACATGCATCTTATTGAAAGACTGCCCACATTAGAGGTGATTGGATCAATGTTCATTGGCTCACGTCTCTGTTTAGAAAGGATAATCATATTTAATACGTATCAGTTTGTGTATAATGCAACTTATCAAGTTTTAGACAATTTATGATATACTAATTTCGACGTAAATGACCAAAATATTAGTGGCATCCTAATATTAACATTGAATCTTAGAAAATACTCCTCCAATCCTTAATATAAGACCCATTTAACTAATTTGATTAGATTAAGGAAGTTAGGTAAGTTAGTTAATTATAAGAAAAGTAACACATTTTTCTTAAAACACCATAATAATCTTTTTTAATACCTCCTCTCTCTCTTCTACTTGATTATGGTTGAGGGAGTATTCATAGGGGTAATTTAGAGAAAATTAATAAATGTGACAAATGGGTCTTATATTTAGGACCAAAACCAATTTAAGAATTAGGTCTTATATTAAGGACCGGAAGAGTATTTTTATAAAGCAGCTACTTTGTCCCTTTTCACAGTGTATATTTCTCCCCAGAGTTATTAAGAATCGCCAACTACATATTTATTATGTAATGAGAACTTTTGTCACTCAGGCTACCTAAATTAGAGTAATTCTCATGGAAACTTTAGCCTATGCTGAATCCATGTCACACTGAGTGATGCAAATGCCCATCCTCACTTTGGGAAAAATTATAAGGGCATGTAAATTTTGCAATTTTGCACCCCCTAGATTACTAAACAAAATATTTATAAATAACAAAATTAACTAATTTTATGAATATCTATCCTATATTAAGATTGAATGGAATATAATCTAACTCATTAAATCATATGTAATTTCAATCCCAAGTTTTGAACTTTGCACCAGTATAAAAGCAACAGCTAATTTATAAAAATTAGTTTGAAGAAGGCATAGAATTTATTTGTCTAGAGGTTATTTTATAATTTACACCAAAGTTCATCATCTACGCCCAATTAATATTAATAATAACAAGACAATAAATATGAGGCCAGCAAAATTCCACTAGTCTAAATAAACAAAGTGAAAGAAAACTTAAAAATTCAATGCACACCAACCTTTCATATTTCTCTCTGGTAGTACCTACCCACCCACCCGCAAAAAGATTGATATGACGTGGCACGCTCAGCGTTCATCCTCTCCGATATCTCATCCTCAGGGAGCGTGTGCTTCCCACAAGTCAAGTAACACTCACAATCCAATCTCGCTCTATTATTTCTCATCCGCTCTGCAAAGTGCTCAGAGAGGGAGAGAGAATAATGGAGTCGGTTCTAAGTCCTGTTGGTTTAGGCTTCTTCTGCCACACCCCAGCTTCATCCAAGAGAGCAATTGTGGGTACCCAATTCAATTCTTGCTCATTTGCTGGTGTTCATGGCGGCACAACTAAACGCACCGTGTTGGTGAAAGCTGAGGGTGCGGGAATCAACCCAGATGTCAGGAAGACCGAAGAGAAAGTGGTGGACTCTGTGGTCATCACTGAACTCTCTAAGCCCCTCACTGCTTATTGCAGGTCCACTTTTCTTCTTTCCTTTAGATTTTCTTAACGAATCTCAAACTATCCCTGGGATATATATATATATTTCCCTTTTTCGTTTCGTTAGAGAATGATCAGGATTTTATGACGTAGATGACCATTTTGGTTTGTAACAAGTGGAGATTTTTTTATGGGAGTTGATGTACTGTACTGGAATTTATTAAAGGGGGGAAAATGAATCCTTGTGCAATTAGGCTGAATAAGAACTTTGTTATCTGTAACCTAGTTAGGGACGTTCAGTCGTTCATAGCCAAAATTCTCATTGTAGAGTGCTTGACAGTTGCTTAAGTGCTTGTCAAGCTCCATGAATATCATTACCTGGATAAGCTCATTTTCATTCATGCTTCAGTATACAGAATACCTCTTTCTGTAAAATAATGTTCTTCATAGGTTAGTATTTTAGGGACCATCTTTTCAATTAAATAGTTGGTGACCACTGACACCTTTCTATTATATACATCTCTGCTCCTTCATCATGAACATCGATGTGTTTTCTCAATTGAATTTTCCGATATTGATGTATATGACATTCTGAACTGACGTATCAGGAAGGGAGCAAGTCTCTTTCTATGGCTTAAGTTGCCAGCAAGCATAATCATGCACATAGTTTTGTAGTATAAGAATATTCGTTTATTATTGTAGTCACCAGTAGTACACCAGCAAACCAGGCTAAGTGTCAATGGCCAGGGAAATGATGGTGGGATATACTTCATGGCATTAGAGTTTAGCTGATTATTCTATAAAGGCTACTGTAAATAAAACGTAACATGATATAGAGGCAGCTGATTTCTTTCATTATGGTATCTTTGAATATTGGTAAGTTCATGGTCCTGCCGATTAGACTAGGCTCTGCCTGATTGAGCATGATGATTCTCCATCATATTCTCAACAGGTTTAGGGTTAAAATGGGTTAAAATTTAGGAGTCCATGGTGAATGCAGACCCTGGGTCAACGAGGACATTTCTTTGGCCGAAGAATGAGGGCATAAATTATACGACATAAAAAATATATGAAATTTTAATACACACACACATGTATCTGCTTGGATTTAGTGAGTACAAAGTTATAGGGGTAGTGAGGGCGAAATTTGAAAATTTACAATACTTGCAAATTTTCCCAAGTTGAGTGGCAGCATTTGCCCACCCTCAACTCTATCGATCCACCACCCATGTGGCCATAGAATAATTCCTTCTACGATACAATCGATTGATTCCCCATCATGTTCCTTGAGAAAAGTTGCATTTGGCGTAGTTAATCCACTGAAGCAAACCACACTTTGATATAGAGTAATGCAGCTACAGAGATGCTTTTGTAAGCAGATTGAAACATTCTTGGACATTGGGCATATTCTGGCTAAATGAAGTATGGCGGGCGTTATGCATAGCCAACATTAATCTCAGTAAAATCACTCAATATATTTGATCTTTGATCTCTAAATAGCAAGACTAGGTATGATTATTATATCTTTTGGATCTCTATAACTTTGTGCATGCTATTATTATTGAGCTATATTGTCCACTAGACGGCTAGTTCATCTATTATTGCCTTTTTTTTGGTGGAGGGTCTGTATGATAGTCTTGTCTTCCTAAATAAATAGCCGAGACTATTATTTGAGACGCAAGATAGAAATAGCAGGTTTATAAGGGACATGCCATTCTAACACCTCAAGGTTTATATCCTTTGAGGTAACCCAGCCCCTTATAATTTACACTCGTGATACAGTATGCGTGCTTCTGCTTTCTCTTCACTGCCATGCCTTTCAATTGTGCAGCTGTAAGGAGAAGTGAAATGAAATTCAGCTTTGGAAAGGTAGAAATTCATGTAATTGTAAAGAACCTTAGAGATGGAAAGATAAAGAGAAGGGAGAAAATGAGAGGAAGAGAAAGAAGAAAGCGAATTCCACATATAAACTCATTCTGTGTCACTTACATTCTCATCATATAGCAAATTTTGACCTCAAGGACACAAAAATGGCTTATAATTATGTGTTTTAGGTTTCAAGGATATGTGTGTTAATGACTGTGGGGGGTTTTTGGTGCAGATGTTGGAGATCAGGGACGTTCCCTGTGTGATGGAAGCCATGTAAAGCACAACAAAGCCACAGGGGATAATGTTGGTCCCCTTCTGTTGAAGAAGTGATGTGAAACTGTTGTGATCTCTTCTGTTGTATTAGGGGAGAGTAATAAGGCAGAATAGTTTTTACTTTTTATTATATGCAGCAAACTAGTGAATTTAATGTCGGAATATAGAATTGAGCCCAGCGTGATGTGAATCCTCTTCCTTGTGGTGGGGGTCTGACTGGTATTTGCCGAAGCGCCCAGTTTTCTAGAATTAGTATCTCCATTGGTTTTGACCAGAATTAAGTTGACTTATTAAATGAAATTTAAGTCATCTAACTCTAACATGCGTGGATGTATGCCAGATTTAAAATGTTAATGTACAGTTTGGTACCAGGGAAATAGAAGGGAAGGGAAGGAGAGAATTTTTTTAATAAGCTCTATTTTAAAAAAATTAGAGAAGTGAGGTTTTAAAATTTTAATAAAGAAAAGAAGTAATATAAAAGAGTACAAAAAAATTAAAAAAGTCTTTAACCCCAGTTCTTAATTTTTCAAATTAAACTAATTAAAATTTTTTCTTCCCTCCCTTTCTTTTCATTTTCCTGGTACCAAACAAACCTTAAAATATGGTAAATTATGTCTTCTTAATGTAATATCTCTGTAAGCTCATTACGAAAATACTTCCATTTTTAACTCTCACCTTATGTTTTAGTTAAGAAGAAAATACGTCTCTTTCTCAAACTTCAGTGCATAAAATCCCAGGAAATTGCGACGCATGACTCTTATGCTGCACCTGCATCCAATTGGTTTTCCAGGGCGAGAAATATTAAATACTTCATTTTCTATAAAATATATATTTATTTTGCTTTCCATAATTACATGTCTCAGCCAGAAAAAAAAAAAATATGTGCCTTAATTCGGACATCTAAGTTTAGTACTCTAGTCGGATAAAAAGAAAATGAGAAACGAAGTAGGATAAACACACACAATTCGAAACTCTCATCCTCCCTTTTTATCCTTTCTCTCTCTCTTTTTTTTTAAAACAGTTAAATTAACTTATTTTAACGGTTTAGATTTTAATTTTTTATCAACTATTTATAAAAAAATTTTAAAAACATTTAGCGTATTTGTAAACTATTAGAATTAAATTTTAATATAATGTGTAATTGTATTTATTATTTTTATAATTTAATATTTTAATAATAATTTTAAAAAATTTAAGTATGAACTGTTAAAATATTAATCTAATAGTTAAAAAGAAAAAAAAAAAAATAATGAGAAGAAAAGAGAAAGAGGTTTCAAACAGCGCACACTCTGTGATATTGAAACAAAAGGCGGGTGGAGGTTGTGGACTATTCAATGAAAATAAGATTATTAGTCATTACATACGTGCTTCGTTTGAATTTCAAAGCGAAAAGCGTGCTCCGTCCTCTGAGGGCTACACAAGTAATTAGACCATAGATCACACTAATTAACCAACCTGGATGCCAATTCCGCAAAGCTGGATTTGGAATTTTCAAATTAATGATTTGCTGTTTACAGTTTTTTTTTTAAAATTAATTCGCACCTCAAGCGTGTGGACAAACAAAGCGGGCCAAAGCTTTCCTCTTTTCCTCTTGGAAAAATGATAAGCAGAGGCGTCGTGGACAACTAGTGTCCTGTATGTTCAGACAAATCCTAGAGCCAAGTGTTGTACTCTACTGCTCTCTGCGGTTTTTTATTTTTATTTTTTATGAATATAATATTTTTACGGATATCCATCTATCTATTACTTTTTCTTCTAATTCAAAATATAAACTAAATTTTATTAGTAGATTTTTTTTTAAAAATAACATTTACTTTTATCTAAGTATTTAATGATTTTTTTATTTTACTTTTTATATATTCTCTTTCCTTTTGATTCATTTATTACATCTTTTTACTTATTTTCTTTATTAATAAAAACATATTGGGAAAAAAAATATATGTCTTATATATATTATTTTTTTAAACTGATTTTAACTAGTTTCTTCATAACATAAATGGATAAAGTTTAGCTTATATTGAATTGGAGGAATATTATCTCTCTTATCCTATATCATAATATCTCCCATATCTCTGCTATCCATAATTATCTCTTATTATCATAGAATTTGTAAATTCTATTGAAGATGTACAATTGTGCCTATAAACAGATGGTTTGTATCATATGTTGAGTATATGTATGGAATAAAAATAATCTTTTATTTTTTTTATTTTCTATTCTCTACTTTTCCTCTATATTCTACCATTTATTTCATAACATGATTCAAAGTTTTAAATTAATTCAATTTTTATAAGATTCAGTTTAACAACTGAACGGTAAATAACAACAAATTTTGACAAAATACCTAATTTACAATTTCACATTTTCACAGTTTTTTTTTGCTGATTTTTTCTTCCTTTTTTTTTAACAAATTTGATACTTGAAAGCTTGGTGGTTAATCCTTAAATTGTTAAGGTAAATGTTTATCATGTATAGTGAATAACTAGATGAAATTTGTAAATAATATGAAAGAGAAGTCTCATTCATTTATTTTAATAAGTTTAAAATTGGGAAAAAACACTTATTGTCAATCAACCTCTTATAATATACTAACTAATTCCGGTCCTTAATATAAAATCTTATTTGATTTTTATTTTGATCTAAATATAAGACCTCAAGTCCACTTGTCTCTCATATTCATACATTTTTTCTAAGATAATCCTTCTAACAATGATAGTTCTAGTAAATATATTTGATTAGCAAGGATATTTTAGGAAAACAATCCCTATTTATTACAAATAATTAACATAACTTATTTTTTAATATCCTCAATTAATCAACTAGCTCTTATAACTAGGAAGGAAGTAGTGTATAATTAAAGAATTGTGGTGCATAGTAGTTAAAGGAATTTTTCAAATAACATGAAGGAGGCACCTCATTAATTGTCAAACTATCATAATATCAAGTAAACTAACAAAGTGTGGTGAATAGTTAAAAAATGTTGTAGTTAACCTGTAATAAAACTTAATAATTAACTTATGTGCCATTACATCTTGTCTTAAAACATGAGATTCAGGTAAGAATTTGTATTGGTCTCACTT